GTCTGGTCATGACATCTTGCAGCTCACGCATTGAAATGTTGCCCGTCAACGCACGGGCAATGCGATTAAGCACAGCACGGGAAGGGAACCAGCAGTAGACATGGTGCACACGGGCACACATATGGAGGAAAATCATCCCAACAGGCCTGACGCAAAGAGGTGATGCAGTGAGAAAGAACTTGGTCTGATTGGTGCGTTTGAAACGCTGGCGGCGGCAGGCAAAACGGCTTAACCTAAACCTACGCCCCCCAACAACCCTGCAGCTGATCAAGGCAGGGCTGCGGCGTGTCAAGTAGTGGTATAAACCTTGACTGAAGTTTGTGGCAAGAAAATCACTGCTCAAAAGCTGGTGCGCAACGCAAGTCAGGAGGCACAAGAAGAAATGCACGTAAGTCTGATCCGTACACGGCAGGTGGAACCTGTTGCAGACTGCCTGTGTGCAGGAGTTCAACGCTGGATTTATGGACATGAGAAAGTGAGAAAGAACAACACAGCCGGGATGCAAACCTGAATTAAGCTCTTTGCAACAGTGGTAAGTAGATCTGAGAGCTTATGGTCCAATTCTGAGCGGCTCGGTAGGGTCGGGTTAGGTGCCGGACCCATCCAGACTCCACGGTGACTGCGGTCAGGACGTGCGCTCAAAGGAGTCCTCGGGAGGCAGTGTAATTGCAATCTTTGGCGCCGTGCAGCAACCTAGCACTGGGTTTTCTGCACAAAGAAAGCCGGCATAAAGCCAGCAGAGCAAGGCGAGGAGCCAACTAAACGAACCCAAGGGACCTAGGTCACCCACAAATGAGTTGAAAGAGAGCGCCTCTTTCAGAAAATGCAAAAACAAAATCAGCCGGGGCAGGCTTTGCGCATCCACTTGCGCACATAGTTTCTGGTAACGGAGTTACCACAAGTTACACATTTAGGGCTGTCGAGCGAAGTCAACTCAATAACATGCCAGCCACGCCGGCCAGCGATAGCGTTATGAGCACGGAGGTCATTAACCAAGACATTGGTACGAGTCTCAGGAAGCTTGGCAGCACGCGTGGAACTGCCACGCTTGTCCACTTTCAGCCCAGCATTAGAGGCATGAATAGGACACGCAAGTTTGGATGCGCTGGAGAAAACAGTAGAAGCATATTCAGCACCACAGTCTCTGCACTTGAGCAGTCCAGCACTCAAGTCAAAAACGTGCCGCCCAAGATTGGTGGCGGAAACATTATGTTTATCAACTTTTTTGGCAAAAACACGAAGAGTAGCCACCCGGGCAGAAGATGCACGATCAAGCTTCGGCGCAACGCCCGTCTTTCTGAACTGAGCAACTGCGCGAGCCGCCTGGACAGCTTCGGGGTAGACCCCTAGGTGGCACGTCTTGCCTCTTGAAGTGACTTTGGCAGAAAAGGTTCCTGAGGTGTTGCGTACCACATTAAGATATTTACCAGTCGAAGTTAAAGGAAGACCTTCACCGTCATGCGAAGGCTGCGAAGAAGTTCCAGCCAGAGTGGCTGCAGCATCTTTCCGTTTTTTCCGGCTATGCGCAGGAGTAACTGGCGGAGCCACTGCTTCCTCCGCGACATCAAGAGAAGGGCGCGAGGGCTTGCGCTTCTGGTACAACATGAGCTTTTGAGACGCGGCGTTACGAGCATTGACAATGGCAACCATAGCCTTGTGCACCTTTAAAGCCACACCATCGTGCGCTTGCAAGACAGGAGACAGCCTGGCAGTCGCTGCAGCAACGGCAAGCTTGTGAGCGCCTTTGATGCCACAGGCGTCCTCAGCAGACACTTTGCAAATTTTGACATCGCGTGAAGGATGCCCTGGTACTTTTGAAACACGCAAAAAGGACTTAGGAAAGGACTGAGTTTTTTGAAAAACTTGGCGCCAAATGTCCAGCTCAGGCAAGCAAGGCTCGACGCCTTGAAGGCGCTGTTGAAGTCCATCAAACACGTGCTGGCAATCAGTTTTAAGCCAAAACGGTCTGTCAGCTGCGATGATGACAGCAGCGGCTGCTGCAAAATCAGCATGCTCAACCGGTTGCACCGGCCCACAGATGGGAAACAAAAAATTTTCCCCGCAGCCTTCCCAGAAGAAAACCCCAGTCCCGGCCCTGGTGAGCCTGACATCGTCCCGATGAAACACAGAGCCATCGACCCAAACCGCGAGAAAGTCGCACTCACTGGCAGGGAACACAATGCGCGGGAGTGAAAAAGACTCAGCCTCAAGGGCGGCTTGCATTTATATAATGGCCTCAGGCAGTTGAAAGACACCACAAAGTTGAGTGCGCGCAGGCCAACGCCGAACCGCGCGCAACTCTGGCAGTTGGAGGTTCGATCGGACGTCGGCCCAACGCGGACATTCCCAGTAAAGGTGAAAAAGTGTTTCAGGAAACCGCCTGCAAAAAGGACAAAGCGGCGAGTCGGTTGTGCCTTGCGCACACAACGCGTGTTGGGTTAAGATCCCGTTGCAAAGAATTGATCGCAGTACGCCTTTGTTATAGGCGCCAAAAGTCTTTGACCGAAGCAAAGCGCTTGACGCAACAGTGTCAACACAAGAAGTGACACCACGAAGACAAGGCCGCTTGGTAGTGCGCTTCAAAATGGCATCCCGAGCAAACATACGAAGCTTGAAGGTGAAGTGAGAAGCGTCACCATGAAACAAATTGAGCGAGCCACCGAGCCACCATTCCACTCTAGTTGAAAGGGTGAAGCCCAATTCAATGACAGCGTCTCGCAAGCACGCTGAACCTGCAAAGCCATGCCAAACCGGCCTTTCCAGGAGGCATCAGCTCGCGCAGTAAGCGAGACCACACCGACATCAGTGCGTTTACTGACACGATGGACAATGGACACCCTTGCGGTGTGCCATTGCTGCACGAAACAGGCTGGCTGACAGCTGCACCCATCCGAAACCAGCGCTTTGAACGCACAGCGAAGTCACGCTTCGGAAGGACAATTTCATCAGGGCACCCAAAAGAAGACAAAAGGTTATACTCAATATTCCAAGGGAGGCGATCAAAAAATTTCGACAAATCCAAAAGCAGGACTGCTATTGGCGAGCCCCCAGCCATGGCATACTCAAGCTCGGTGGCAACCCGAAGGTACAGGTCAGACACACGTTTGTCTGCAACCCCACCGAAGATTTCAGGAGGGGCCCATTGTTTTGCCAATGCCGGAGATGCTTTGCATGCAAGGAGGCCCAGCTGCGGTAGATTAACGAAGCTATGGAAATTGGACGCAGATCGTCTGGCCCAAGCCCGTGCGGTTTCGGTATGAGCGTTACCAAAATGTGAAGCAGATTTTTTTTAGGCCAATATCCAACGCTTTCGATCACTGCGAGCAACTGCGCAAGATGAGCCCAAGCAACATGAGGCCAGCATTTTAGCAACTCACGTGTCCAGCAATCAAGGCCAGCAGCTGTGCGACCACCGCCACAAGCGATGCGACGCAGTTCATGAGGATCTATGGCAGGGAGGTCCACCGCTACCCACTGGAAGAACTGCTGGTATTTGTCACGAAAAACATCCCATGAGGGTTCACTGTCAGCATGACAGTTGTAGACGCCAGACCATTTGTCAGTAACCTTTTTTAGTAAAACTTGCGGGTCAGCACATAACCCGCAAGGCTGATCCAAAATCTCGGGCACACTGACAACAGCTGCGCGCAGCCGCAACCATTGAAAAACCTCCCTTTTGTTGCCGGACCAACTGGCTTGCAACCGGGACTTCCAAGCATTGATCCGCATACGTTCGAGAAGTTGTTGCTCACAATTGATTTCGTTACGAACACGGGAAGCAAGATCATCAAGGTCGAAGGTGGGAAACACTCCAAGCGAACGAACGCCGCGTTGAACTTCACGGAGGAGAGGCTCGCGTACGAAACCAAGTTTGCACCTCTACAGTAAGGCCTCCTGGATGCGCCTCTGCAGCTTGAAAGGACGCAAAACTTTAACCGAGCAGCACCCTTGCGAACATTGCAGCGGAAAAGCAAGCCGCTTCCTCAAGCGAGGCTCACTCCCATAAGACAGGGCGTCAGATTCTGGTGGCAGCGCTCGGTCATGCAGCGCAAGACAGCATGTGCGACACAGGAGCCCCCAAGCTTGGTCAACATGAGACAGCTCCAAACACTGTTGCCACTCAGAGAGCATAGAAGTGAACAGGCCCTCAGCATGCTCAGCTTGCACAGTGTCAAGTTTTGCTAGGGGTAGAGGATTAGGGCGCCTAAGGACAAAAACGGAAGCAGAAAATGCGGGCAAGGACACGCAGACTTTCAAAGCCTTATGGTTTGGGATGTCAAGCTCAACAACCTCAAAGTGAGTAACGGTAGCTCGCGCACTCTTGTTGCAGAAAATGGCATCAATGCGAGATGCAGCAGGCTTGCCATGACGGATGGCCTCGAATGTGCACGTGGAACCGGATTCAGCACCTAAAGCGTGCCAACGCCCCGACGCACAGGCGGCAAGGCAGGCGGGGCTTAGGGAGGGGTCAATATTAAAGTCACCGCACAAGAAGCAAGGGACGTCCCCAAAAGTGGAAAGCCACTCAAAAATGGCGCCTAGGGACTGTTCGTTCAGGGCAAAGTTTTCAAAACACTTTTGGGGGTGCGAACCAGGGATACCATAAACCGAAATGACAAGGACGGACCTATGACCGTTAGCGAGGGGCAGCCATGCAGCAACAATGCGGCCAGCCCTGTCCCATTCTTGAAGTGACTTTGGAACGTCAACTGCTAAAAGTGGGGAAGGGGCTTGAATGGCAACGCCTCCTTGCTGTGACACAGCGTGGCCACACACAAGACGCTTACCTTCAAAGCGTGCCTGCTTAGCGGCTCGGGCTTTGGCAGCCTCATTAAGCCTTGTTTCCTGGAAGCACAGCACATGGTGCCCAAGCGTGGAGAACACCTGATGCCGCGTATTCCACGACGTGATGTTGGCGGAGGTGATGGTAAGACCATGAACTTCATGAACACCACGTTGCACTATAGCACTTGTGCCATTTTGGGTGCTACTGATAGCATCTAGCTCGACAACTTCTCTACAGGAAACACGCCCACCACTGGGAGGGTGCAGCGTGTTGGCATTTTGAAGTTGAGCCGGCAAGGCAAACAAGGGCGACGGCGCAAAGCCAGCGCTTGCAGGACAAGCAGGCAGGCGAGGAATTTCAGCATCATAGTGGTTATACCCATTGTAGCCGATGTGGACACAAGGGCCAACATCGCCAAAGTACATTGGTTGAAATTCAGGAGAGTGAACACAGATGACAAGGCCTAAGGTATGAGCGAGGGCACGAACGCATAGCTCATCACCATACGTTGCTTCGCGGGCCATGCCCTTGCAAAAGTTAGAAAGATCAAGATCATCAGCAAAGCGGTCACGGAACAGAGACACTTGCTGAATGGTTTGCACACAATCATGCCGCAAGCCAGCAGCAGTGCAGCGAGTAGGAAGGATGAAATTGGCCGCGCGAGCGACGGCCTCAAAAAGGCAATTGCCATCTCCGGGCACAAGGGACAGCTTGAAATTTTCGGGCACACGCTGTTTGAGAGCGACACGCGCAGTGCGCCACTTAGAAACAGCAGCATCATTTTGACGAAGAGACTGACGGACAGCCTCTGCAAAGTCATTGGCCTCGTTGGAGGCACTGCGCGGGCCACCGCCGCCCGAAAGATCACTCCTTCACGCAGTGGTAGTGACAGGCTGCAGAGAGTTGAGCTTGGCTAACACTTGGGCAAAGCCAGCATCCATTTTGCCTTCAAGACTCTTCGTGCGAGCCTCTTGATCCACAAAACGCTGCTGCGTGCTAGCTTCAAGGTCAGCAAGCCGTTGCTCCAGCGCAGATATGCGATGGCTGTCAGACGAGCATGCAGAGGTCGGAGCAGCAGGATGCGACTCACGAGGAGGTTGAGGCCTGACCTTGGACTTGGGAACAACGGTGCGCTTTGGGACGCTTTTCTCAGACAAGGGTGAAGGTCGAAGCAGCACGGGACCAGTGGAAAGCTCAAAGGTGTCTTTGTTCGGCTCTTGATCAATAGCAACAGGAAAGACAAGATGCCCTCCTCTGCGCAAGGGACCACCAACTAACGCCGCAAGCTGAAGCTTATCAAGGAGCAGCTTAGCAACCTCAGCGCGACTTGTCCCATCAGGAAGACCATACACAAAGTAGCGTATTCGCCCCACCAGATGCCGGTTGGAATCGTTGAAGCGCGAATCATTCGGCTTGAGGATCTTACGTGCTTCGGCAACCTCCACGATGGGAACCCTGACCCCAAACCCCGTGCGGTTCTGCTGTAGCCCAAAGTGTTTAGCAATGCGCAACAGCACTGCTCGTGCATCAGGCAGGGACTTGGGCCCCAGCCACTCAACGCAAAAGACACTGTCAAGGAACTCTTTGTGTGCTTCATCTCTCCAAACGGCTTGGAAAGTTAAGGAGTGCCCAACGGCAGACTTGGCCAAGAACTCCAGCGCTGCATCTTGGGGCACGCGGACAATCACGCGATGAGCCGAGTCAGAAAGCTTTTTGAAAGCATACATTTCAAGCCGACTGTGATGCTCAGGAGCCAAGCAAGACACGACGAGACGACGAAATTCCGCACGCGCGTTAGCTGCGAAATTTGACCAGTTGCGCGCGTCAGCATCGAAATTAGCCTTGGCAGCAAGCACCGCAATCTCAACAGAAGGTTGCGGGGCGAACTCAGGAGAGCCAACAACCTTGAGTGCACCAATGGAAAAGATGGAAACATCTTTCAACTCCTTCCGCTTCAACTGGGGGTCACTGACAACAACGGTGCCTTTGACACGCTTGGCCTTGAGCGCAAGATCATCAAAACCCTTATCACCGTGACCTGGTACAACAAGAGCAAGGTTCTTAGTGCTGGTGACTTGCAACAAGCTGTTGAGTTGTTCTCGGCGAACAAGTGCAAAACCATGTGCACCAACGCGCACGTCAGTGATGGCCAAACTTGTCAAAGCTGGCTCAAACTGCCCACCATCAACCTGTAGCTCCTCCCACCGCACCCTTGAAGGACGTTGGATCTGAACAGCTGGTACGGGATTTCGCCGGCTGGGCTCAGCCGAAGCACGGTGTACATTGTCAGGATCAAACATCAGGTATCATTTCAACATCAGAAGGAGGTGAACTGGGCTGAAAGTTAGCCCACGGATCAAAGCAGGTGCTGCAGCGTGAGCCCGCACAGCTGGTGCAGAAGGAGATGGGCGCATGACACGCCGAGAACCACTGTCACTGCGAGTGCGATTTGCTTTAGGTTTGGTACCACCACGTAATCGAGCACGCTGCTCAAGAGTGATACCATCAACAATGCCGACCTGATGACACAGAGCAGTTGGAGAGACGGGGGAACCACATCGGGTGAGGTAAAGCAAATGCGACGGTATGCCAGTGGCGCAAGCAACGGCATTGCACAAGTCTTGAACTGAGCCGGAAGCAGCAAATGAGCAAACGTGCGTTGCTCCTGTCAGGGATCTCACAAAACACTGAGCAGCCGAGACCCCGGGATGCTTGCGAGACACAACGCGCTTAGCGAGGATATGCGTGCAAGGCGTCGGGCGGGCAACTGCCATGTCACGAAGGGAAGCGATATCAACCATGAAGGTTTGGGCGCGAAGGCAGCGGCACCGCCAGCGCCTCTGACCAATCCACCTTGCAGGAACAACCTGCCTAACTGGCCGCCTCGTCAAGAAAAGGGACACAGCAAAATCGCGACCAAGAAAGGCAATGCAAGAAAGTAAGGGCGGTCCCAGAGCAAGCCAAAGCGCAAGCACAAAGAAAGCGCGGCGGAAGCGAGACCTAAGCAAGACCTGAAAGAACTTATATGCGTGGTTGCAAGCGTTGCAGAGCTTCCAAACAAATGCAAAGCCTGAAACCAAGTGCGTGGCAAGCATGAAGAAAATCAAACAGGTGGTCATCCATGTCAACCAAACACAGACATCTGTTGACGCTGAGTCCTGAGGCCTAAGACACTCAGCCGCGGGCGGAACCACCACGTCGTAGGAGGGTGAAGCCGAATGCATGCAGTGTAATTTGCCCAATCGCCCCAAGCGCTGCCAGTCAAGCCATCCTGAAAGAACATGCGTGTCAGAAGGTTGTAGTAGGCGGAGATGTCGCCACCTTCATCGTACGAGTAGTGCACACCGAAGAGGCGCAGGCGTACTGGCCACCGCCGTTCCAGTGCATCCAGCTGTGGAGTACACTGGTTGCCCCGCTTCAAGCTTCGAACCCGATACCCAACAAGGTCACCCCCAAGCACAACCAGGAAAAAAAAACCCACCGTACACCATGAGTGCCACGGAGAGAGCAGAGCAGCAACGGGCCACTCCGCTTGCGGGCACTATCACCCAGCTTCTACAACCAGGTGGGAACCCAGGTACTAATCCGCAAAGGGGAGCGGGTCGGCAACCATCCTAAACCTAAAGAACCATGCAGCAGGTGAGCCACTGAACCGCCGAGGCTGCAACGCAAGGCGACCGCAAGGCCTTCCTTGGTGAGGCCGCTCTGCAAGAACAACTGCCACTGCACGGTGCGCCCTGCTGCTTTCAACATACCGATAGTTACTTCATCAGACCCGGCCGAAGAGTCCTTCAAGGAATGCAAAGCTTCAAGAACTTCCTGGTGCGTAGGAGGGGGACACCCAAGCAAGTGTCCGTGCGCAGCTGGGGCACTACTTTGTCAATGAGGTCAGTTGACACCGGGTCCTCAATACCCGACGACTTTAAAGCTTGCTCACGGAGCGCTGCAAGAGAGAAAGTAACACTGCCCTCGTGGGCGGCCTCGCCCGAAGCTACCCCCATTTGCCGTAACAAGTCATGAAAAGTGCGCATGTCATGACAGTCAACTGCAGCATTAAGCTTAGTAAGGATCTCTCGCAACCACCGTTTGCGACAGTACTTGCGGAAGTCCGCACGCTTGCGTTTGGCAACACGAAAGGATTCCAGTTCAAGGACCTGGCTTGGTCGATCCTGGGCAAGGCGAACCGCAGTGTAGCAGTCCTGGACAAGCTTATCCAACTGCTGCAGGACCTGTTTGTCACGCGCCGTATATGGACTCCACAACCCGTTGTGTCGATGCCTTCCAACGATGTCCTCAGCTGTAACCGCGAGGGCCTCGGACAGGGCCTCCCTCGACAAGTCAGGAGGAGGCACCGGTGCAAGTGTACCCTTTCCTTTTGCGGGGACGAAGTCGTGCACTCGCCTGCGCACCCCTGATGGCAGGTAACGCGCAGGTCGAAGCCCCAGGTCCTTGTCCTTTCCGAACAGCGGGCGAAGCGCGTTCTGTAACCAAACATCGCGCGTGTTCTGTGCTGTTTCACTGTTTCTGAAAAGCACAACCACTGGCCAGGGCTTGCCATCTTGAGGGTCCTCGTGCTGCACCGCCTCGACTGCGACACTCGATGGAAGGAGTAAGCGCATCGCAGCCTCTGCCCCAGGAGGCACAGGACCAAGACCCCGTGTGCAAGCCCCTTGCGCGTACTCGACCTAGGCATTGTACGTTTGTGTTTTCCAAGGAGTAGGGCGTTCTTGCGGCCTCTGGGCCGGCGGGAGGGCCGAGTTCCTTTGCCCCGTGGTCCATCCTCGCTCAAGGCTAGCTTTAAGCTCACCACTGAGGCCAGAGAGCGACCCACATGTCATGCGAGTCCACGCGCCTTATGAGAAATTGTCGCGCACGTTTCAACACATGTACAGGGCGAATCTGATGAGCGACCGGTCGTCAATGAAGGCACCGGCTCGGAGCTCTGGCACATGCTCGCGCACCGGCGTGCCGATTCATTGCCCAGTTTGTACGCTGTTGAGTTGGCCAGGGCAGCAGTCGCAAGGACCCGACCCTCGAGGCTGGACAACCTTGCTTCAACCCCTTTTTCCGACTCGCGTTCCACTCCCGTTCCACTTCCCGACGATCTCGGTCGCGGTCCCGGTCGCGGTCATGCCCACGATCGCGCTGATCACCACGGTCACCACGTTCACGGCGCGCCATGCCGCGCACATAGGAAAGCACAGAAGGCACCAAAACAAAACACAAGCTAGGTAGCGACTTGAACCAACAGGGCGCGGACAGGCTTTTGAATATGACTGCGCATCACACATATGCTCCGAGTGTGTCTAACGCGGCACGTGTACGGCACGTGTACACACAGAATAGGGCACACAAACATTACCGGTTGCGAGTTCGATTTTTTTTGGTGTTGCTTGCAAGTTGGCATGCTTGCAGGCTCACCAGGGTGCGACGGGCTTATACGCTCTGCAGTGCTACTGTATGTGCTCGCGGAGAAGGCGCACGCGGAAGCTATGAAGATGCGTGAACTCCCTTTCAACACCAAGGTCACGGCGACAATACGAACAAGTGATAGGAAGCATATCATGGTTCAAGGGGTGCGCATTACTCATATGCATGCGGACCGAGTCCCTACCCGGAAAATAAGCACCACACTCCGGGCAAACATACGGCGAGGCATCAGGAGCATGTAACCTGAGATGGCTGGTCATTGCGCTTTCCCTTTCAAATGATCGGCAGCAATGTGGACAATCCCACCCCGCCTCACGATACGTGCCCGAACGATGAGATAGAATTCGGTGATGACCCTGCCCATGTTGCGTCGTGTACTGTCGCTGGCACCCAGGGATAGGGCACGCGTACGTGGCACCAACCCGACTATCATAATGACGTTCCGCCCAATATCTACCGCGCACTCTGTTCACTACAGGCTCGGGCGGCGGTTCGACATCCACAGCTGTCTTCTCAAATGGTTCAGGACGGTGCTGCTTGACCCTAAGCCGGCGCCTAACTGGTCGTATTTGGGGCATCAAATTTGACAAGGCTTCAAGATATTCGTCGAGGTGGCCACAACTTAGAGTTTTGGCATGCGCAGTCATACCGACAAACCGAAAGAGACACAGATCCATTTCATGGGACATGTGAGTTACCCGTGGTTCGACCGACATAACTGCAGAGAAAACATCATCAAAATCATTTTCACCCCAATCTTGCCCATACTGAGATACAGCTTCACTAGCAAAAGCTTCCAGCAGCGACTGGCCGCCCACCCCTTCAGCTTCAAGCTTAAAGAAACCCTCGGCCGGTGTGTCCTGCGCCGAAATCCATTTTTGGGCAATAACAACGGCAGCCGAGAAACTCTTGTCAGGATGGGCCGTGCTACGACCCAGAATTTTTCGAATCTCTCGGCTTCGATCAGGAGGGCTTGCTCCAAGAACAGGAAAGGCAGGTTTGAACCACATGGCAACCTTACGAGTAGCCAACTTCCAGTCCCGCCCCTCCTGCTTTGCAGCAAGCTGCATCCATGCCCCTAGCGCAAAACCCCCTGCCCTGAGTGCTTCCACCAAAAGTCTGGCGATACCACTTTCCTCGCAGACGTCCTGTCGGACTCTGTGTGCCAATTTCATCCGGAAGGAAAGCACAGATGATCCGCTTAGGCAAACGAGTGTTTGGCATTCGGGCAACATGGCCAAGCCATCGAAGCTGTGTTTGCGTGATTAAGTCGACAATATCTGGCACACCAAGCCACGCCCGCACATCTTTACTGTTTAGATGCCATTGTTGCTGTTGCCACCTCGTAACACCCGAGATAACCCGCAGACACATCATGACAAAGCCACGCAGCTTACGCCGTGTGACAAACGTAGAAGTCCACGTCTCACAACCGTAGAGCAGCATACTAATGACGCTTGCACGAAACACAGCGAGTTTGGAGGACAGGGAAAGTTCGCGAACATACCACACAGGTTGCGCGAGTCCCCAGAACACTTTGCGGGCGCTATTCATATTATTGAATATGTTGGCCGTACAGTCCCCGTCAAACTTAACGTCACACCCAAGGTATCCAAACGTGTCTTCAAAGTCTACACGGTCAAACCCATCCTGCGGGCAGACAATGGGATCCTGCTGGGACTGGGTAGTGCACATGGCTTTGGTTTTTTCGACTGAAAGAATCAATCCCCAAGAAGAGACATGACTTTGGAAATCCTGCGTCATTTTGCGAAGTTGTGCATAACAGTCTGCCAATAACGCCAGGTCATCTGCATAGCCCAGCTCAGCACGATCGCAAGGCTCATACGAGCTATACTTGTAAAGATCCTGGCGGCGTAGTACCCCATCGACCCTGGTTCCCCAACGCAAACGCCTTCCCTCCACTCCTCTCCACTGTTCGAGCACTGCAGCGAAGAAAATATTAAACAAAAGTGCAGCCCTGGCCCAGCCCAGTTTGGAGACCAAAACGTATCCGTAAGGTCATCCTCTGCAGAGACACGAACCGATTTGTTTTGGTACAAGCGTTGGAGCAAAGCTACTACATTGGGGGGGACCCCCTGAATAAGCAAGACCTTCCATAAGCCGCTACGCACCACACTGTCATACGCTGTCACCAAATCCAAAGACCACAAACAGGGGATGATCCTTAGTGCGCGAAATTTCCTGGGCCATGCGCAGCACGAAAACCATATCAATTGTGCTACGGCCCGCCCTGAAGCCAGCCTGCGTTTCGGGGAGCAAACCGTTGTTTTCGGCATGCCGATAAAGTCGTGCGTTCAGGATTTTTCCAAAAATTTTTCCTGCACAAGACGCCAATAGGATTCCCTGCCAACGTTTGCAGTATGTGAGATCACCCTTCTTTGGCATGGGTATCAGATAATTATCAGCCATTCTGCAGGCATGGGTGCTGCGCCACTCCAGACCCGGACGATGTGCTCATGAAGAACACGTAAATTGATAATATCCAGGCCCTTAAGCATCTCCGGATGAATACCGTCCGGCCCCGTGGCTTTTCCGTTTTTGAGCTTATGTGTCGCAGCAACTGTTTCAGCAAAACTGGGCAAGTCTCCGATAGCAGAAAGTACTGGTACCCGTCGCAGGAAGTCAAAGTTGGAGTCTTTGCAAGTACCGTGTACATTGAGCAGATCTTTAAAATACTCATACCATCTCTGCATCCTATCGGCCTTGGTGACCAACAACTGGCCCTTGGCATCGCGCAACTTGTTTGGCCGTCGACGACGATTGAACAAAACCTCTTTTAATTCTCGTTGCCCCGCAGAGACCGCATGTGGTTCTTTATTGTCGACTTTCTCCTGTATCAGTGACGCCTTATCCCTCCACCACGCGTTCATGATTGATCTGATTTCCCTACGCGCTTCCTTACGCACAAACTTGTAAACATCCCGAGGCCCTCCATTAGCAAACGTTTCATACGCCAAGCGCTTTGCGACTCAATTCTTCCAAGCGGCTAGAGTTATCAATTTGCCACTGCGGGGGAGTACACCAACCTGCTCTTCAGCAAAAATGCGCACTCCGTGAAACCAGAGTTCATAGTCATCCAGCAAGCCATCCGCCGCGGCAGACTGCATTTTATTGTTGAAGGCTGCCAGTTCTGTCCCGCCCAATTTAGAGATTTGCAGCTTAGGGATACGCCCGTGATGGGTCCGTCTGTTTGGTGAGTGGCCACAACCGTTCCAGGATCGGGGCGGAACCCGAAACCGAACCCGTATTAGGCGATGATCGGTGTCAAACCCTACCCCAGAAATAGTTTTGACATCAAGAATAAGACGCATGGTTCGCGCTGGGGCTAGCACATGGTCTATGTGATGCCACTGTTTGGTACGAGAATGCATTCACGAACCGTAATGCGCATGCTGGAAAAAGTACCTGCAACCTTAAGGAGCCCAACTGGGGACCCCTCGCATAAACCTAAAAGACGCTCCCCATTTTCATTAAGATGTCCCATCCCAAAAGGCCCAACAGCATCACTGGAACCGATTGCGTGTGTCCCGTGCATAGCGGAATGTGCACAAAACCCAACACGCGCGTTGAAGTCGCCCATCGCAACCACCTCTTCACCACTACGGACCTTCCCCAACATACCCTGCAAAGCGTCAAAAAATGCATCCTTTTCGGAGGCTTCCGTATTAAATGTCGGGGCATAGACCGAGATCACATTGACGACCCGATGTTGCAGCTCCAACTTAATATGTAATAACCGGCCACCATAATTAACGCAGTAACTACCTGCACGTCTCCACGCCACCTGCGTCGCCTCATTCATGACAACTGCCACTCCTTGCATAGCTTTGGGCGCATCGGCGGGCAAGCCACTAAACACATACAGATAGTCACCACACTGCAGTATACCCTCTCCCCTCCAGCGGTGCTCTGACACGCAGCACAAAGACATGTTATGTTTACGTAGTAACTCACAGAACAGTTCAGGCCTATCAACGTCACTCCCCTCAAGGTTGACTTCTCCCCCGGAGAATCTAAGACTTGACAGTGCATAGTTCGAACATTAAACGCCCCCCAGACCAAGATCGAGACATCGTTGCTTCCAGGATTTACGAGTCACAGCTCTCAGTGTATGGCCACACTTCACTGGTGTGACTCTCTCCTTCGAGCTAAGTCGAGTATTTGTTTCACGAAATGACGGTGACGCTGGCTTGTCAGGCGACGCCACCGTTGGGCCACCCCCAAAGAGGGGAGTTGCCCCCCACCCCGAAGGGAGGAGAGCCCCGGGCTCCCCGTTAAGAGATGGCCCCCGCTACCTCCGTTAGCCCTGCCATCAAGAGCATCAGAACTCTCACGCGAAAAACAAGTAAGTTGACAGGTTTACACCCTGGCACCCGGAGATCTAACATGCACGCCTATCCACAGTAGCTGACCTGTTCTCCTTCTGTGAGGTGGAGGTTCGGCTTTGCCAGGGACATCGCCAGCCTGGAGCCCACCCTGTTGTCCTGTACCAGGACTTGGGTGCGTGAAACTGGAAATTAAAAAATTTGTAAAAAAGGGGACAGCTAAAATATATCTCGACTTGAAAGGGGGGGGGACAAAACCTACCGAAACTGTCATCTAGAGAAGAAGACAGAGAGGGACTGGAAGAACACATGGGAGGATGACCATATATATCAACCTACCAAGCATGGGACACAGCTTGCACGCACTAACCTCAACCGTCGCGAGGCCCCGAAACGAACGAACGACTGCGAGCGCCCAACAGACCACAACTCAGCCTCACGAAGCCCCAAGACGAACGGGGTAAACGCAACGCACGCACGAACTTCCGTGGAACGGCGCCCAACGGAAACAGTATGCACCGGGCGGCACCGGGCATAAACAAGGCAGTGCAGGCGGCATCGCATGCCACAGAATTCAACGACAATGACCCAAAAACATACGGTCCTCGTCACACTCGACGTCGGGTACCATCACCACGCTCATCAGGCGCCTCCGACTCCCGCTTCGGGGACGAAGTGTGCGCTCGTCTGTGCACCCCTGAGGGCGGGTAGCGCGCAGGTCGAAGCCCCAGGTCCTTGTCCTTTCCGAGCAGCGGGCGAAGCGCGTTCTGTAACCAAACATCACGCGTGTTCTGCGCTGTTTCACTGTTTCTGAAAAGCACAACCACTGGCCAGGGCTTGCCATCTTGAGGGTCCCCGTGCTGCACCGCCTCGACCGCGACACTCGACGGCAGGAGTAAGCGCATCGCAGCCTCTGCCTCAGGAGGCACAGGACCAAGACCCCGTGTGCAAGCCCCTTGCACGTACTCGACCAAGGCAGTGTACATTTGTATTTTCCAAGGAGTAGGGCGTTCTTGCGGCCTCTGGGCAGGCGGGAGGGCCGAGTTCCTTTGCCACGTGGTCCATCCTCGCTCAAGGCTAGCTTTAAGCTCACCACTGAGGAAGAACACAAGCGACCGGCGTGCCGATTCATTGCCCAGTTTCTACGCTGTTGAGTTGGCCAGGGCAGCAGTCGCAAGGACCCGATCCTCGAGGCTGGACAACCTTGCTTCAACCCCTCCTTCCGACTCCCGTTCCACTTCCCGACGATCTCGGTCGCAAGGCTCATACGAGCTATACTTGTAAAGACCCTGGCGGCGTAGTACCCCATCGACCCTGGTTCCCCAACGCAAACGCCTTCCCTCCACTCCTCTCCACTGTTCGAGCACTGCAGCGAAGAAAATATTAAACAAAAGTGGGGCAATGCAGCAGCCTTGGCCCAGCCCAGTTTGGAGACCAAACGTATCCGTAGGGTCACCCTCTGCAGAGACACGAACCGATTTGTTTTGGTACAAGCATTGGGCAAAGCTACTACATTGGGGGGGACCCCCTTAATAAGCAAGACCTTCCATAAGCCGCTACGCACCACACTGTCATACGCTGTCACCAAATCCACAAAGACCACAAACAGGGGATGATCCTTAGTGCGCGAAATTTCCTGGGCCACGCGCAACACGAAAACCATATCAATTGTGCTACGGCCCGCCCTGAAACCAGGCTGCGTTTCGGGGAGCAAACCGTTGTTTTCGGCATGCCGATATAGTCGTGCATTCAGGATTTTTCCAAAATTTTTCCTGCGCAAGACGCCAATAGGATTCCCCGCCAACGTTTGCAAAACGTGAGATCACCCTTCTTTGGCATGGGTATCAGATAATTATCAGCCATTCTGCAGGCATGGGTGCTGCGCCACTCCAGACCCGGACGATGTGCTCATGAAGAACACGTAAATTGATAATATCCAGGCCCTTAAGCATCTCCGGATGAATACCGTCCGGCCCCGTGGCTTTTCCGTTTTTGAGCTTATGTGTCGCAGCAACTGTTTCAGCAAAACTGGGCAAGTCTCCGATAGCAGAAAGTACTGGTAGGAAGTCAAAGTTGGAGTCTTTGCAAGTACCGTGTACATTGAGCAGATCTTTAAAATACTCATACCATCTCTGCATCCTATCGGCCTTGGTGACCAACAACTGGCCCTTGGCATCGCGCAGCTTGTTTGGCCGTCGACGACGATTGAACAAAACCTCTTTTAATTCTCGTTGCCCCGCATAGACCACATGTGGTTCTTTATTGTCGACTTTCTCCTGTATCAGTGACGCTTATATCCCTCCACCACGTGTTCATGATTGATCTGATTTCCCTACGCACTTCCTTACACACAGACTTGTAAACATCCCGAGGCCCTCCATTAGCAAACGCTTCATACGCCCGCAAGCGCTTGCGACTCAATTCTTCCAAGCGGCTAGAGTTATCAATTTGCCACTGCGGGCGAGTGACCAAGCGCTTTACACCAACCTGCTCTTCAGCAAAAATGCGCACTCCGTGAGACCAGAGTTCATAGTCATCCAGCAAGCCATCAGACTGCATTTTATTGTTGAAGGCTGCCAGTTCTGTCCCGCCCAATTTAGAGATTTGCAGCTTAGGGATACGCCCGTGATGGGTCCGTCTGTTTGGTGAGTGACCACAACCGTTCCAGGATCGGGGCGGAACCGAAACCGAACCCGTATTAGGCGATGATCGGTGTCAAACCCTACCCCAGGCATAGTTTTGACATCAAGAATAAGACGCATGGTTCGCGCTGGGGCTAGCACATGGTCTATATGATGCCACTGTTTGATACGAGCATGCATCCAGGAACCGTAATGCGCATGCTGGAAAAAGTACCTGCCCAACTGGGGACCCCTCGCATAAACCTAAAAGACGCTCCCCATTTATATTAAGATGTCCCACCCCAAAAGGCCCAACAGCATGACTGGCACCGATTGCATGTGTCCCTTGCATAGCCGAATGTGCACAAAACCCAACACGCGCGTTGAAGTCGCCCATCACAACCACCTCTTCACCACTACGGACCTCCCCCAACATACCCCGCAAAGCGTCATAAAATGCATCCTTTTCGGAGGCTTCCGTATTCAATGTCGGGGCACAGACCGAGATCACATTGACGACCCGCCGTTGCAGCTCCAACTTAATATGTAATGACCGGCCACCATAATTAACGCATTAACTACCTGCACGTCTCCACGCCACCTGCGTCGCCTCATTCATGACAACTGCCACTCCTTGCATAGCTTTGGGCGCATCGGCGGGCAAGCCACTAAACACATACAGATAGTTGTCCTTGGACTTCTCTGGCTCCTGAACCCATGTGATTCTCCCTTGCATGCTCTCGGCTCTCCCACTCTCTTGGGGACCTCTGTGAAAAGTCTTGTCGGGATTCTTGCTTCACAGCCGCTTCCTTTTTTTTTTTTGCCCGCCATTATTCGCCAGGGAGAATATATGCGTGCGCTGCGGACGACGTCCCACGGGTTGCGTGCGCTGCTAGCCACGTCCCCTCCTGGGGAGTGCGTGCGCCGAATGCCACGTCCCGCGGGGTGCGTGTGTCGCATGCCACGTTCATTCTTTAAGAGTTTAAATTTTTTGTTGCTTCCTTCTTTCGGTCCACTTTTCGCGTTCCTGCGAATGTGCGTTGGCTCTCCTTTTGCCATCCCCTTTGTCCTCGAACTTCCCTGGCTTCCTGAACCCACAAGTCAGTGAGTTTTGCGGAGCTTCTTGCCTCCCTGCTGTTCTCTTCTTCTCGCCTGTCATGTGGTTTCAGGAGGGAATGCGTGCGCTGTGGACCACGTCCTACGGGTTGCGTGCGCTGCTAGCCACGTCCCCTCCTGGGGAGCGCGTGTGCTGCAAGCCACGTCGCGTGGGGTGCGTGCGTCGCATGCCACGTCCATTTCTATTTGTTTCTTCTGTTTTTTTTCTTCCTCTTTTCTTTCCCTCTCCCGGTCATAAGCTTTCGCATTTGAGCGAACTGGCATTGGCTCATCCTAGCCATAGTGTATTGCATGCTTTGCTGTGGCAGTGTAAGGGGAGGTAGCCAAGTGATGGGGCCGCGGCTTTAAGCTAGTCAACCATTTACTTGGCTACCTCTCCCCTGGCTTCTTGCTGGGTTGGTCGTATGATGTTAGTTGTGCAGGGGGCGGGGCCGCGGCCTTGTGCTAGTCATCCTCCCCTGTCACATTCGGTTTGGGGAAGGTTGGCGGGCGCCGGGGCCGCGGCTTCGTGCCAGTCAACCGGTCGCCCGCCTTCCTCTCCCTGCGTGGTGCACTTACAGTCTTGGGGGTGGGGCCGCGGCCCTGTGCTAGTCAACCACCCCCTAATGGCCAGGCAGTCCGAGCTGCGCTTGCAGCGAATGCCCATGTGACGGTCGCTTTGCTTGTTCAGTTTCTCGGTTCAACATGCCACCTCTGTCTCCCTTCCGCCTTGTGTTTTGAGCTCCGCCCCTTGACCAGATGTTTTTGCCCGCCTGGGTCCTTCATGAGCGGCTGTGCGATTGGGCGATTGCGTGGTTGCGCGGTTGTGCTGGTGTCCGGTTGTGCGGTCGTGCGCAAGTGCAGTGGTGCGCTTGTGCAGTAGCGCGGTTGCGTATAGTTGGGCGGCTGTGCTTGTGCGGCTGTACAAGTGTGTGGTGGTGCGGTTTGCGGTTGTGCAGATGTGCGGAGGCCGGTGCACGGTTGCGCGGTTTAAGTTGTGCGGTTGTGCGGCTGTGGTTGTGCGTTGGTGCCTTCTGTGTTTGCGTGGCGGTTGGCCCCGGCCTCGGGTCGCCAATGGTGCCGACAGCCTTGCAAGTCTGTCATTGGCTGTTGGCGTCTCTTTGGCTGCTCCCCGGAGCTTCCCCGCTCCTGCAGCCTTGTTATTGCCCGGTCCTGCATCACTAAGCGGTTTTCACACACGTGCGTGCTTCCCCGTTGAACCCGGCGCCGCCCGGTGCGCCTGCAACCTGTGCTGCATCAACTTGGCGAGCTACTGCAGAGGGCCACTTCCCTTCTCTACCTTAAATGTAGTCCTAGCTCGTGTGCTTGCCCAGTGGGGCTTCGGTTTTCCCTTTTTCCGGTTGTTTTTCAGGGTTCTCCCTCCTTACTTGGCAAGGGTTTGAGCTTCTCCCCGGCTCCTCCCCGCCTTCAGCCTTGGTGCCCCCCTTGTGGCTACCGTAGTTGTTTGTCTTATTGCCTTTGTTGGCTGCTCCCCGGCGATACCAAGCGCCTGCAGCCTTGGCCTCAATCGGGCCTGCTTCTACATCGAGCGGGAATTACCATATTCTCTCTCGTGGTCCCCGTTGACCGGTTGCCCGGTGCACCTGCAACCTGTACACTGTTTCAGCTCGGCGTCCCCCGTCCCCTGACAGTCTCTGTCGGTTGTGGGTCGTCGCAGACATTTATACACTGGTGTTAAGTGAGGGCGTCGAGTTTGGATCTCGTTCACCGCAGAGTTGCGTTGCAGTGGGTTCCCCTCTTTTCTTGTCCTGCTGGCTTCCCCGCTGCCCCCGGTTGCCCCCGGCGCCTTCCGGTGCGCCTGCAGCCTATCGCCAGCTTTGGTGTCTCCTGTTACACGACTCTGCAGCGTGTGTGGGAGTTTTTGCAGCAAGGTGCCAAATACCTTACCAGGCCATCAGATCCCTGTTGCAGGCCCCGTCACATGTTGCTGTCCAAGCACGGGCCCGGAGCCCCTTGGTCTGTGCAGGCTCAGGGTTTGGAGCAAGGTGTCCCTTCCTGGGCTCTGCAGGTCTTGTCCGTCTTCCCCTGCGCGACCAGAAATTTTGAGTGCTGGCAGGATCCTGAATAAGAACGTTCAGTTCTTCTCTTCCCTTCCTTCCCCTTCCCCCCCCCCTCCCTTCCCCCTTCCTTCCCCCCCTCCCCCACTCCCCTCCCCCTTCCCCTTCCCCTTCCTTCCCTCGCCCCCTCCCCCCTCCTGTCTGTGCGTTCCGCAACCCCCCCTTCTTGGCTCGGCTCGATACGGGGGTTGGTTCGGTGGGTTCTTGGTGTCCTGTGGTCGTGCCCTGATTGGTTCAGTCGTCTCCCGTGCCTTGGTCTGCACTATGACTAAACCCCCTCTTGAACTCTCCGCGGAGGGCGGCGATGACGCCTGCGGAGCCGCCCCGAGATGTGGGGGGGGGGAAGAGTGCGGGCGGCTGCAGCAATAATAACGCTGCTAGCCATTCTCCCTCCCTCCCCTCTCCCTCCACATACAGATAGTCACCACACTGCAGTGTACCCTCTCCCCTCCAGCGGTGCTCTGACACGCAGCACAAAGACATGTTATGTTTACGTAGTAACTCACAGAACAGTTCAGGCCTATCAACATCACTCCCCTCAAGGTTGACCTCTCCCCCCGGAGAAACTAAGACTTGACAGTGCATAGTTCGAACATTAAACGCCCCCCAGACAAGATCGAGACATCGTTGCTTCCAGGATTTACGAGTCACAGCTCTCAGCGTATGGCCACACTTCACCGGCGTGACTCTCTCCTTCGAGCTAAGTCGAGTATTTGTTTCACGGTCTTGGACAAGAAAAATGACGGTGACGCCGGCTTGTCAGGCCGACGCCACTGTTGCCAAGTTTACACTTAGGGGCCTTAAGGCGTTGACCCGTTACAACGGCAAATGACCCAGCAAGGTCAAGGAACTGCTGAATAGCACCTGCAGACTCAGCCGAACTGCTGATGTCATCTGCGTAAGAGCGCGGACAAACTCGGGGAAGAGAAGAATCCGACAGCCGCATGAAAACGCTAACCAGAAGATTAAGGAGGACTACAGAAATTGGACAGCCCTGCACTATGCCACGGTCACTGGTGATAGCCGAACCAAAACCCTTCGCATGCTTAAAGACCCGCGTGAGTCTGGAGTAAAGGTTGCTGAGACAGAGCACAAAAGGGCCTGGAAGTCCGAGCCGCGTGGCAAGAGGTAAAAGGATCTCGTGAAGAGGCAAAAGATCAAATGCCTTTTCAAAATCCAAGAAGCATCCGGCGAGCTCGCGACCTTCAAGTAAGGCGCGTTCAACATCAAGTGCTAACGGATACAAAGAGTCAGAACATTCCAGGGAAGAGCGAAACCCCGTTTGGGACGGATGAGCCCAAGACTCTTGCCAGATCATGAGTTCTTTCAGGCGTACAGAAGCCCATAAGCGATAAATCACACTTAAGATTGAAAGGGGGCGTAAGTTGGACGGGGAGCCGTCAGAGTCGGTTTTAGGTATGAGGCAAAGGTACCCTGTGGTCAGGGCGGCTGGCCAGTGGCCAGTTGATTCGATGGTATCAAACAGAACGCAAAGGCCATCAAGCAATTCATCCGGAAGCGCTTTGACAGTGCGCACTTCCCAGCAGTCCAGGCCGGCCGCAGAGTGGCTGGACATCTTTGCCAAACTGGCCCGCAGCCGAGCAGAAGTAAGCGGTTGAAGTGGAAAAACAGGAAGCTCGGGAATCAAATGACCATAATGACGCAGGAAGGATTCCCAAGAGGGTTTAGGCTCCGACGGATGACGCTGCATGACAGGAGCCCAAACGGCACGCACAAGCTCATCAATTTCATCAGGGTCGGCAGTAAATCGATTTCCCTTTTTCAGAAAAAATTGGGGGCACTTATATTGGCGATTAAACCACTTGAAGGTGTCGCGTTTATGGTGGCGAAAATCAAGCTTGATTTTAGGTTAAGGGCCTCATATTTCTGGGATTTAGAAAGGCTATCAGCGCGCTTGATTGCTTTGATTTTACACTCACGCAACGTGTCAGGTGAAAAGTGAAGGTCACAACGAGCGGCACGCGAGGAAGCTTTGCGCCAAAGATGCAAAAGAGAAGTGGGCCAGACAGAGGGGCCAGAAGGAAGCATACGCGAGAGTTCCTCAAGTTGACGCGCGAGTTTGCGGAGGCATCTTTCTTTGGCTGTTGTCTGAGCACCATCAGCTTGCGTAGGGCGAGAAACGCCGGTGGCAGGTTGATTAAAGAAACGAGGCAGGGAGCCACGACCGCAGTAATGCTTGCGAGGCTGTGGAGAAATTGCAGACTTACCACGCTCACAGAGAAAGTCTTCAGAGATACGGTTAAAGCATCTAAAGAGAGCGTCAGTGTCTTGAGTCTTCACGGCAGCCTCCCAATCCGCCGAGTAGCGCTGCCAAGACTGCAAAAAGTTTTCGCGTTCAGCCTCAGGAGAAGCGGGGGTAAGTGCAGCCTCGGGGAGCTTACGAGGTCTCCGCAGTTGAGTGTGGGTGAGGTGGAGTGAGGGCAGAGAAAGATGCACTACGATCGGTTTGTGATTGGGAAAACCAGCATCATCTAAGATTTTGTACTCAGAGAAAGAAACCGCAGCAGTCTTATTGAGAAGGACGATGTCCAGCCGGCGGGGTTGGCCGTGCGGAGGAAAGTGGGTAGGACTAAGGTCAGCACCAGCAAGTCCTGCGTCAAGCCACCCACCTCTCAAGCAGGCCTGTCGGCAAACATCAGAATCCTGCGGCTGACGGTTCATGTCAGAAAGAATGATGCAAGGAAGGTCGCTGCGACAAGAGGCCTCTTCAAACACATCGCTGAAAAACTGCTCATTTGCGGAGTGCGCAGAAGAGCAAGAGTACGTGCCGGAAAAGCCGTAGGCCACTATGATGTGCAGGGCACGACGGGCAGAGCCGAGGGCGATGATTGCATGAAGCCAGCACCCAGAATCCCACAACCGCTGACGGAGAGGCGAAACACCGGTGGCAACAAGCTGTGCAGGAATGTGAGAGTGAAAAGCGAGGGCCACACCGCCGTTACGTCCATTCCAAATTGTACGCGCTTGTCTCTTGCGGGCCGGCGCCCGTTGAGGAACAGGTTTACCAAAGAGAACAGAGAAACCTAACGCACCGAGTTTGGCAGCGAGAGCCCCAGGACTGAGAGAGGTATGCCTGGTTTCTTGGATCGCCGGGAAATCTGCAAGGTCTGAATATCCAATAGGACCAATTGTAGAGGATCAGGGTCAGCAGGTAGTGCACGGTCTCATGGGATGACTTCAGAGGCAAGATCAATGAGCATACGTAAGATTAATATGACGTCCAGGGTGCAGCGATTAGGCCTAAATCCCCATTGATAGGCCGGGAAACTCTGAGTATCTTCGACATGCTGTCGCAAGCGCATTGCTAAGATGCGGGCCATCAGGCGGGACATAATGGATAAGAGAACTATCAGGCGATGTTGATTCAAGTCAGATCTCTCTCCTCCCAGTCTGTATCTGGATGGGCCCATAGGCGTTGCACGATGCCGGAAATGACTTGTAGACCCAGCTCTCCCGACATACGTAGCATCATGACAGTCACTTCGTCGTGACCTGGCGCCGACTCGCGCGTAGCCGCCATTGCTTCTTCCACATCGGATCGCTCGGGGACCTCGGCTAACCATGAAGCTTCCGGGACAGATGGTCCCATATTGGCATCTAGAGTGTCAGGAGACACAGGGAGTGGACTATTCATGGTCTGCTTGAAGTGGTCAAACGCCTCCTGGAGGGTGAGCCTCTCTACCTTCTCAACTGTATTCGTCCATATAAATACCCAGTTTGGGAAGTGTACGGTAGAAGGTGCTCATATCGTGGACGGCGACAGCTTGTTCCAATGTGTGGATGATAGACATTACCCATCTGTTACGCGCTTCTTGTTTGTAGTCTCGTACCGCCTTCTTGGCCGCACTGAGAAGGGTAGCTTCATGAGGTAGCCCGCGACTACGCTGCACTTGTTGCCATAAGGCGGCTTGCTTTTGCATCAGCGGCTGGATGTCCATGTCCGCTTCGGTGTAAAAGGAGGATATGCTGTTAGGGCGACCTCGACCCAAACTTGTTCGGTAGCCTCAACCAAGATGTCGGAGAATTCGGTCCAGGTCATGGTTGGCAGCGTCGGTGACGCTTTCGAAGAGCCAAACGTCGACGGGGCCACCAAAGTGTTTCGCCACGGGCTCCTTTATCGGCGGCAGCTTTTTCATTGCCCTCAATGCCCGTGTGACCGTACACGTGCTGCCAGTGAAGTGGGCGCATAGCTGATACTTGCTGTACCAGTTCTTGTACTTTATGAACCAGGGCGATGTTGGATCGTGGTGTCCATTGTCCCGTCGCCATTTTGTACGCATAAGTAGAGTCGAAGAAGATGGTTGCCGCGTTCGAGTCGGGGGTGCCATAGAGGAGGAAACGCATTGCATGGGCTATAGCACAGAGCTCGGCGGTATTGTTAGAAGCTAGTGTAGCCCCCAGGAAGTCCTCTTTACCACGGTCGAAGACGACAGGCCCGTGAAAGATTTGCCAAGCGCCTTTGTTGTTCTGAAGAGCGATGCCCCAACCGGCCGGTTTACGACGACCCTGGCGAGCCACTGCGACTTCACATGAACCATCTGTGTAAATTTCCCATGGTGTGGACGTGGTTGAAGCCGGCGTCGACGAGCTGGAAGACGTAGCCGGGTGTAGGTCGGGTAGTTTTGCTGCCAAGGTGTCGTGAATGAGACGTTGGATGGCCCCTCGGTTGGCTTTCGCTCCTTCACTGGGTCCACGAAAAGCGTGATAGTTCAATGGTGCTGTGGGGCCCTTGTTCTGTGTCTGCGCCTCCTGGATGCGACGGGTTTTGGCAGCGTGGCGTGGCTGTACCAGTGTAGCAGTAGGCTTTGCCAAATGGAAGAGCGCCTGCTTAGCCACATGGTCGGGGAAGCCAAGGTGGAGCGTCCGTACCGTCTGCACTTGTGATGCCAAAGGAGGTGAAGCGCAAAAGTAATCCAATTCGTACCACTTGTAGCTCTGTGGGTGGCACCACGTACCACGATGACCAGCGCGTGTCCACGACTTGAAGCTGTGTTTGTCCCAACCACTGTCGCTGTTCCACACCGGACGGTGTGGTGGGGGTTTGGAGCGCATAGTTCTGATCGGGGTGATCGCGGCCCACGTGGCCGTTCCAATCTCCGCCCCAGATCTGAAGGCAGGACGGCTTGATGTCACACAACTGCCGGTGAAATACGGTGGCACTGTTGTAAACATCTGCTCTCAGCCTTCTTTGCTCATAAGATTGGCCGGAAGGGATATATACAGCGACAAATGCATGCTCCCTCTCTTGCATGTAGAGGTACATCACAAGTAGATGGGGGTTGGGCGATTCCCAACGACATCAACTGTCTGACCAGGCTCGATGTACATGATATGGCATGAGGAAGGCTGTACGGCCATGGTGTAGTAGCAAGAATTCCTCAATATACACCATGTTCAGCTCCAAGGGGCCTGGTGTGTCACGCACTTCGGTGAGGGCTAAAGGATCCCACTTGTATCTACGACACGCCAAAATGGCATGTTGAAGTTTGTGGCGCTGCTGCAAACTGGTCCAAATCAAGCCTTGAGTGTTGGTAGTTGCAAAATGAAACGAATTCTGAATTCGAACTTGCCGGCTCGCCCTGTACGGATGGCGATCTCGGTCTAGCGTACTATGCCCACAGCGACTACCAGTGCAAGTGGCAAGCTGCGGGAAGACATATTGCTGTGACTGTATATGGCTGCTCGGAGGGATAAAATTTGCACCTGAGTGCGGCTGTGAGGTCCCCCTCCGGAAGAATCCAATCAGCCGATACGTTGGCTTTGTCTCTGATTGGCCGCTCATGCCCTTAGTAGCAATGCAATGGACAGGGGAGCGTGACTCTCAGCGCCTTGAAGAGGCCCAGTGCTGAGGAAAGAACACGCGTTGAAGGTGTAGTGGCAGGTCAACATGTAGACCAACACCTTGGAGCAAAAGAAGGAAAACTGTGAACTGTGAACTCCACCCCCAGAGCGCAGTCACCCACGGTGTCCGGGGCGACACGTTCCCCCGACTCCACTGTGAGCCGGCGGGTTGCCGCGCCGAAGGCCTCTCATTGAGAGAGTCACGAAAGAATATCCTGGAAAAGACAGTCATTGATATGGTAACCATGCCCAGACTGCAAAGAAAAGCGAGCATCCAGTGGAAAAACCCATGCTGTATTGCACTGCTGGCATATACCGCAAGAAGTCATGTTTGGAATGTAAAGATCTGACATCGAACTCTGTACCGGCGGTGCGCTGCTGTCATCGCCACAAAGGTGAGGATTACGGGTGGCCCAAGTCCATTGAGTAAGCACGGACCCCACTGAGACCGGTCCCAAACCAGACCAGCCAAAAGGCAAAATAAAACCATGCAGAAACTAGGTGGTGGTTACTGTGCTCTGAGCTTCTTGAGGTCCTCCCAGGCCTGCTTGTGCAGTTGCGTTTGTCCCCACCTGTGAGGAGCTATGAGGAACCGCTTGCTGTCCACTGAGGCCGACAAGGCGTCCAAGGCTTCACGGAAAGGAGCGCCTGCAAGTACGCTCACCGAGGCTTCTTGTGTGACTTCATCTTGAAGAGCCGAATCCTGGCGAACAAGGTCCATGATCGTCAAGAACATAAAGGTGCGCTTCTCGCCCAGCTCGTGAGGAACACGCTCCGCCATGCCCTCCTTCTTTGGCGGCAACGAGTTGACCCAAAGCCGAGAAGCTTCCAACACGGGCTTCTGGTCCTCATCCGAACGCAAGGGAACCACGAGGTTGGCCGCGGCGCTAACTGCTTCACACTTTTCTGCTGTGGACAAAGTCAACCGAAGAGCACGTGCCAAGATCTCTGTGTTGCCTGCACCCTGAGAAGATGTTGCCGACGCATTTCGAGTCTCCACGCTGCGAGCCCTTTTCGCAGCGCGGTCCCCATCGCCTGCACGAAGCTGCTGAGCCTTGGCCAAGATCTCTGCTGCTTTGCCACTCGCCATTCGGGAAAACGAGAAGACAGGGAGAAGCTGTCTAGAAAAGCTCTCCGACTATCCCCCTCTGAGCCCACACTAGGCAGGACTGCGTTCAAGGTCGTGCCATTGGCGAAGGTGGAGTGGGAGACCAGTATTTGACCGACGACGAGAACATTCCACCGAATGGCGGCCAGCGGCTTTAGGAGTGCAAAAGCCCGTTCCACAGTGCTCACACGCAAAATTGCGATTGTCATGGTATGACTGTGTAAAGCGCACCCGGTAAAGCCAGCCGGAATAAGGCATACTCTTGCAACCCAGCGAGTGTTTAGCTCTCTCAGACTTAGTATCAAAGAGACGACGACAGAAGCGACATTCTTTGGCTGAAGAACCTGCAGGAATGCTTGGAGGGGGAAGGTCAGTAAGTGTGATTGGACGAATCAACCGCACATCGCGATATTTTCTGCACGAATGCTTGTCTGCATACTTCTGCCTTACTTGCGCCGGGTCGAAGTTCATGCAACTGGCAACATCATCCGCAGTGGTATCCTTGGAGCCTTTGAGAAAGCAATCCGGGCGTGGCTGCTTAAAACGTAGCCTGCGACGTGCACCAGCCAAAGCAGTTTGATCCACATGAGGGCGTCGCGAAGATGTAGCCGCTGGACGCACAGCACGCTCCTCTTTGTTCAACTGTGCACGTTGTTGCCTCTGATCCACCGTGAGAGTTTGGCAGACCACGTCATGCTGTCTCATGCTCTTCAAAGACGACACGTAGCTGCAAGCCTGTCAACCGCAAGAGTAGCGCCCATCCGCTCTTCTTACGGCCCCCAGCTCCTCATACGCTCTTGCTGCCGCAGCATCTTGGCGCGCTTGTCGCGCTGCATCCGCGTGCCTGGCCGCCCATGTGTCTCGAGCTGCCAGATCGTCTTGTCAATAAACCCAACGCCTAAGAAGCGATTCCCACATGGCACCATCCTCTGCTTGTGCCATCTGCAACCACTGCTGGTGCCACCCCTCGACTGGAAGCTGTAAGAACTTGCGCAAGTCGTCCAGTCTGGACCACAAAGCTTGTCTGGTGTTGGGTGTACGTTTGCACGAAGGATGTAAAGATTCCCTGGGTGACCAAGCGAATAGAAGGTGACGTTCCATACGATCGTTTGGCAAACGAGCTAAATGTCCTAGAAATCTCAGCTGCCCCAGCGCAACATACGTATGAATGTTTCTGAGTCCCAACTTGCGTAAAAGGTCCTGTTGAGTCAGGTTGGCATTCTGCATCTCACTCAAGCGCTGACCGCATAGACCCCGTGCAATCGTGTGAAGGAAAGTCTGCCACTGGTGAAGAGTGGCACTCGAAACCACCCTGGATTCGGTGCCGAACACCAGCGCCCGTATGACTGCAGCCTCCACCCGGCGGCCTTGCATTCGCGGCGATAGGCCGTATCTAGGCATTTGCTGGTAAAGGTTGCGCCATATGCGCTTGGCACATTGAAGTCTGTGAGCATCGTCCTGGGCATATAGCCCATCGTAGGAGAGAATTCCTCCCAGCAACCGCGCATTACGGTGAAAACCTTTTCGTTCATCTGCGCCAGAGGGATGGATGAGTACCCGCTTCGTCTTGCTTGGTTTGATGACCTCACCCCAGTCGCGCAACGTAGATGCCAAAAGCCGTTCTGCTTCCTCTCTGCCACTTTCACGTAACAGAAGAGAGGTATCGTCAGCAAACATGATGGACAAGAGTTTCCAAACCTGAAGTTGCTCGGTGGAATTCTGAAGCATTCTTGAGCGAGGCCGATTGCTCCGGTTGACGCGCCGGTTAAAGCGCCTGCCCCAGAGCGAGTGCAGTTCCACAAAATGCCCTGGGCACTCTTTCCTGAGCGCATCCAGTCTTTTGGCAAAATCCTGCATGACGAAATCATGGAAAATCGTGTACAAGCCTGGAGACGTGCTGCACCCCTCTCTAAAGCCAGCTGTAAGCTTATATGGCTGGGAAAGCCCTTCCGAAGTGCAAGCCTGGTACGAAGTTCCAGAATGAAGCGCGTCCAGCGCCTGTATCAACGGCTGTGGGAAGCCGAGCCGGGCGAAGAGCTCAAAAGCCGCTGTACGATCAACACTAGGAAAATGTTTGCGAATATCGAAGAAAACCAACACTAAAGCAGACTCGACAGCTAAGCAAGCGCCTGGAACGTGTGAAACTTCAGCCGCCATTTCCGTTACCATACGAACCACAAACAAAGCGTCCTGCACTGAACGATGCTTCCGATTGCCCCATTGACAACCAGAAAGCAGTTGCTCCTCCTCAGCGAACGACATGATGCGAACTGAGAGAATACGTCCCAATACTCTAGACAAAATAGGCAGCAAAATAATGGTCCTGTAACAATCAAGGTCCTCCCGTGACCCCTCCCCTTTGTACAAAGAGATGCCCAGGCCATCGCGAAGTTGCTTGTCCCACTCATGAGCAGGTCGATGGAACATCATGCAGACAATACGATAAAGCTGCTCTTGCACTCTATCCCCTGCTAAGCGCAACATGTTGATGGTAACTCCGTCCTTCCCAGGTGAGGATTCTCGAACAGCCACTAGAGCTTGGTTGAACTCTGCACGAGAAGGAGTGAGCCCCAATTCATGCCGAATGGGTCTCTGCTTGACTTGTTGACGAATGAAACCATCCTCCACTTTGAGAGCCTGTGAAGAGACCGTCAAGTTGTGAGTGCGCAACGTATCAAGTGAAAAAGGCGCTGCACCGGAGTAGTTCACTCCTTCCACTGATACTCCCAAAGAACGAAGACTGCGATAAAAAGAGTGCCAATCACCAAGGTTCATACTCTGCTGCATGTCTCATATCTGCTCCGACACGAACCTCTTCCGACTTCCTTTCTGCGATGTCGCGCTAACTTCCACGCAGCGAGACTTTCTGCCTCCTCTGGAAGACCTTGGTGTCTGCGAGCCCTCTCCCAAGCCCCAGAAATCTCGTCTTCAAGCACCAACAGTTTCTCTTTGTCGCTACGCGAAAGAGGAGCACCTCGACGTTTGTCTTTGCAAGAACCATCAACGATGTCAACACAACCTACCAAAAGTTGAGAAAGCTCTGCCCAGTCTACTTCGGGAAGTGGAACGACATTGGAAGCAACTTGAGAAGCAACAGGAGGCTGTTTGCCTTGCAACCTCCTCCGCGTCGCCGACTTGAGACCAAACTTCGCATGTAAACTGCAGTGACTTGGCAAGTCTTGCCACTGGCCATTCTTCCCCATTGTCGCACAATCATCTGCACGCTCGTTGCCTCGATTTCCAGTATGCCCTTGAACCCAGTGCCAATGCACCGGAAAGAGCTGTTTTGCACGACACCAAAGCTTTTGTGCACGCCGAGCCAGTACTGCATTTTTGTTGACCTTCCATAGTCCTTGCGCAACATTGCAAGCATACTGCGAATCGAAGTGAATGTGCAAAGCAGAGACACTAGAAGCCTGCGACAAAGCCAGCTGGAAGGCCTTGATGACTGCCGACAGTTCTCCAGTTGTTCGTAGCTCGCTGGGCACCAAGAAAGCCAGATTCGGTCGGGGAACATACCACGGGGCCAAAGTAGTCCTGCGCGTCACCTGCAAGCCAGGCCGCGAGACCCCATCCAGCTGTAGAGGGAACCTGCACCTTGTTGTCCCGAAACATAGGAGGATCTGCACCTCCGTCTGTGTATATATGAAGAGCAGAAGCATCTTGCTCCTCCCAACCTTCAACACAAGCCGGTGCCGCAGGCACCGGCGAAACCTGCAACTCGTCCATGCGAGACTCCACAAGCTTCTGGTACTGCTTGATACGATGACGTGTTTCCGCAGAGTTACCCCGCAGCGCCGATGCATTGCAACGTACTCTCGTCTCTGTCTGCTCTGCCACGGCACGTCCTCGCGACCGACGTTTCCAGAGCATCTTACGAGCCTTACGAACTGCATGCTTCTCAAGAGATCCCAAGTGTAGATGCATTCGCTTGCCCATATGATCGGATAAGATGCCCGAAGTAGAAAACGTGCTCATGCCCGGCTGAACTGCAGCGTAAAGTGAAGAAGACAACAAAAAACCATCAAGTTCATACCATTGAGAAGTCCTTGCATGCCGCCAAGTCCCCCTATGCTTGATGGGTTTCCATGAGTCAAGATGGACAAGATCCGAAGTCGCCACGAATTCCTTTAGCAGCCTGCCTCCCAAAGTTGTAGGAGTATGCAACCCTTTGTTGCCCACTTGTTGCCCAAAGCCATCGTTGACACCAATATGACCATTGAAGTCTCCACCGATACATATCTCAAGAGTCTCATCTTTCAGCATGTTGCAAAGCTGCTGCGCATGTGTGTAATGTCGTCGTTTTGAACCCACGTCCGCCCCTGCAGGAGAGTACACGCTAACAAGAGCCAACTTGCGACCATGAATGCAAACTGCAATCCCAGCTAGCCTGTCTGAAGCATCTAAAGCGAAGGAGGGTCGCCCTTGCTGCTCCCAAAGCTGAGCCACCGAATTCCTCAGCAAAAGCCCCACCTGTCCTCTGCAAATCAGCAACCATTCCTCCATGTAAACCACCTGAAAGCGTAACTGCACAGTTTCGTCGTAGTGCAACTCCGTGAGCATTAAAAACTTGCGTGCAAGTAAAAGAAGAGCCTTAAGCTTCTCTGCATGTGAAGTGAGATCCCATCGTAGACCTTGAGTGTTGATGCATCCCACCTTCAAACCCAGCGAGATCGGTAGCCGATATGACTGGCGAAAAGTGCGTCTGAAACGGTTCCTCCGGCGACCGCGTGCCTGAGTAGTGCCACTCGGAGCATAGACATAAGGCACGGGCTGAGAGGAAGTCACAGATGAAAGCTCCACAACAGGGTAGTGAGTTTGTGCCCGAAGGGCACTGGTCTCCGGGCCCATCCTGCGAAATAGGCCCGTCAACCGTGAGAGTGATTCTTTTCGTCGTAACTGCATCACACCTCAACCGCTGAGATGTAATGCCCTAAGAAGAACTGAAAGCCAGAGTCACGATGTCCCACTGCGGCACGTGGAGCCAAGAATCGTGCAGTGGGAAAGAACACGCCGATGATGGCCATCATCGCAAGCCTGGAAACGGACGTGTTCGGCAGCTGATAGCCGCCCTCGGTGCCACGGAGGTCGCCCATGCCCTCCCTGGCAACCTTTACGCACTGCACGAACACTTCCAAGTTACGTATTTCAAGGGGGATGAGATATTGCATCAGATGATAAACTTCACGCCTACCCAAGGGGAATGACCAAGCCCAATATGAGAAGGCAGAACTACTAGGGGGACAAACAAAAAACTTTTTACGGTCAGAACACATCATGTGAAAGCCACGCAAAACACGCTCCTGGGACGGACGGTACCGTTCCCAATCGACAAACCGGACGGTAGCGGTTGTCACTCCCAAAGCCGGACGGTACCGACTTTCACACTCCCGGGTATAAACGAAACCGAAAAGGGTGTACGTTAAATAGCCAGGTAGCCTATCCTTTCCGCTGTTTGTGTTCCTCTGCGTGGCCACCGACAACCGCTGCCCAGCCATCCTCTTTCCCGCCGCCCCAGGCCCGTCACCTCTGCCCCTTCCTCCAGTGCCCTTGCCGCCCTTTCTCTTAAAGTATTCCTGGATTTCCGTTTCCGTGTGACCCAAGCTTGAAAGGACCTCCCGGTGTAGAGCTCCTGGTAAGAAGACCAGGGCGCAAGCCAAGTTGTGGGGATTGGCCACCCCGCTCCTCAAGACGGAGAAAAGCCGACCCTCCCAGGAACTTATCCCGAAAAACTTCATCCGCCCTGGCCCAGCGTTGCGCAACACTTGGCCATGATTTAGGTGGAATTCGCAATTTGGACCGGTCGACTTTTCTGTCCGGCGTCGGCTTAGTTGGATCAACCTCCATAGGCGCGAACCAAAACCCAAGTTCTCTGCTTTTTTCCGCCCATTTAGTTCGCCCACCATTCGTGTTGCAAAACTGTAGCCAGCCCTGTTGATGCACATCGATTGAAGCAAGGTCTCTCAGAAACTCTTCCGTCAACCGTTTGCCCGCCTGATGTCCAGGCTGCCTATATCCCGACTCCTCCGGTAAGGATCCGAACAGTATCTGCTTTGGTAACCGATGGTCCTGCATACGCCCAACATGCCCCAACCAGCGCAACCTGCATTGTCGCACTACCTGCAGAATGGCAGGCACCCCCAGCCACGCCCGCAGATCCGCGTTAGACATTCTATGCCCCCACTGCTTTCGCAACCCAAAGTTGGCCAGTCTTCGTAGCCAAATATGGTACACCCGCTCGAGAGCCCTTCGCGCCACGAACGTAGGGGTCCAGAGCTCGGCCCCAAAGAGCAACACCGACATAACACATGCGCGAAACACACGCACCTTTGTCCCAATAAACAATTGCTTGAGACTCCAGACGGACGAGTTGAGGGCCCAGATTGCCTTTCGTGCCTTATGGATACTTTCGAACACTGCCCTATCCCCATTTGTATTCCTGTCCACAGTCACCCCAAGGTACTCAAATTCCTTACAAAAACTCTATTTCATCAAATCCGTCAAACTCTTGAACTGCAATAGGAGACTGCACGCCCGACTCCGTTGTGAGCGCTTTTGTTTTTTCCACCCACAACGTAACGCCCCATAACCCAAGGTGTGCTTGGAACTTCTGCGCCGTTTCCCGAAGTTGTAACAACGAGCTGGAAATAAGGGCCGCGTCGTCCGCGTACGATAGTTCTTCGAGTTTAAGGGCCTGCCACGTGGTATTCTTATCGAAAGTTTCGCGATGATGCGAAACACTGTCAATGCGAGTCTGCCAGACAACCCCTCCTCCCGACTTGGCCTGCCACGCTTCGAAGACTGCTGCAAGAAAAATGTTAAACAGCAATGGCGCCAAACAGCATCCCTGCCCCAACCCTGTGCCCAATTCAAATGAGGCCGATAGACGGCCCTCCACACTGACTTGTGTGCACTTACCAGAAGAGTAATCTTTGACCAATTCAACGAATTTGGCCGGCACACCTTTTTTCCGCAAGATGGTCCATACCCCAGCCCTTGAAACGGAGTCGTACGCCTTGACAAGATCCACGAAGAGGACATAAAACGGGTGATGTCTGTATGCCGCAAGCTCCATTCCCATTTTTAAGCAGAAAACAGCATCAATGACACCACGCCCTGCTCTAAACCCACATTGCGCCTCTGGCAACAACCCTGCCTCTTCTGCATATTTATATAGCCTGGCATTGAGGATACGCGCGTAGACCTTCCCCGGAATGGATGCCAAGAGTATGCCTCGCCAATTTTTACACATGGTAAGATCGCCTTTTTTGGGCAAGGGGCCATTCCTTCGGGAGTTCTTCGAGCCCCTCCGAGTAGAACTCATGTAATATTCGTACATTGGTGGGATCTAGAATCTAGAGACATGAGAATTTCAGCTTCAATTCCATCCGGCCCTGATGCTTTGCCCTTTTTCAATCTCTGTATGGCAGCAATAGTCTCCTTGATGGTAGGAGTCTCTGCAAGAGACACATCCGGTACCTTCCAACTGATACCATTCATTTCAGCCTGCTCCACTTGTGTCGGCACATTCAGCAGATCAAAGAAATATATTGCTGCCATCTGTCCACCCTTTCCGACTTGGTTAGCAGCAAGGCCCCATGCTGGTCCCGCAGTTAACCTGCTTTTCTGTGTCCTCCAACAAAAATCTGCCTCAATTCCCTGTAGGCTGCAAACTGATAGTTATGATCCTTTGCATCTACCGTTTCTTGTATACTGCGAGCCTTTTCATTCCACCACTGGTCTATCAACCGTTTCACAGCTGGTTTTGACACTCTACATGCCGCTTTGTATTCCTCAGACTGAAAGCCTAAGGGTGACCGTGCCGCAGCCTCCCACTTGTCCCGACTATTCCTCATGTCCCACTTGCCAAGCCGGAACATTTCTGGCCTGTACAGTCCCCAACATGGACACCGCTACTTTTCGCATGCCGTTGCCAAAGAGCTCATACTTGTCATCAAAGAGCCCATCTGCAGCAAACTCACGGAGCTGTTGGTTGAAGTTCTTGCACGTTTCAGCTTGCCCGAGCTTGCCCACATTGAGCCTAGGCACCCTCCCCGTGATTTCCGCCGTAGCGCCCCTTGAGAAATGGCGTCCAAGTGCAGCTTTTTTAGGCACCGACAAGGTTACTTTGACGAACCGATGATCTGTGCGATGCACGTACCCCGGCATAACCTGAACGTTGTGTATAAGCCCCAGTGATCTTCGCCTGCATATGACATGGTCAATCTGAAACCAGCGTCTGGAGGATGGATGAAACCATGCGCCATAGGCATTGTGTTTGAAGAGTGTGCTAGCAACTACCGGTGCATCTCGATCCCTCCCCGAGCAAAAGTCCAGTAGCCGGGTGCCATTTTCATTAACTTCCGCCAGTCCGTGTCTACCGACCATCTCCCTTAACCCATCCCCATCATTTCCTGCCTCGTCCGGGTCACGAACCCCAACCCTGGCATTAAAATCACCCATGAAGATTAACTCATCTCGCGGAGCGACCTTGTCCATCATTTCTCCAAGTTGCGCATAAAACGCCTCCTTTTCTTCTTCTGAACACTGGAATGTGGGTGCATAGCACGAAATGACTGAAACGACACGTCCGTTAATCTTCAACCGAATACGCAGTAGCCGCCCACCACCATACCCACAAAGCTCGTCAGCCCTCCTCCACGCGTACTGCATGTCCTTGTTCAAGAGAAAACCCACCCCTTGCGACGCCTTCTTAGGATTTTCCAACCCCGAGTAAACACACAACCAGTCCTCTCCAATTGCGCATGAACCCTCCCCTTTCCACCTGTGCTCAGACAGCGCGCGCAAACTGACACCTTTGCTTTGGAGTTCCCCACATAAGTCAACCGCTTTCTGCGGATCCCTTTTGTGTAATCTCAAGATTTTTCATGGTTTGAACATTCCAGCATCCCCATGTTAATCTAGGACGCTTAGGCCCACCACATCTACGCTGCTCATGCCCGTCCGCGTTCACAATTGGGCGAGTAGATGCAGTATGGCAGGTTCGAACACTTCTATCCCGTGTGGTAGCTATTGATACAGCAGAACAGCTAGCTAGGCTGAACTGCCGGTCGGTCGGAGGGACTTCCCCCGGGTTGCTTCCTAGAAGGAAGCCCCGTTCCCAGGTTTGGTCCGTCCCCCCCCCCCGCCGCCTCCGTTAGCCGACATGTTAATGCAGAGAAGTCACCCTGCAGCAAGCACACTTAAGAATGTCGGGAACACCGGGGCACCACGATGAGGTGGAGGTCGGTCTTTGCCCCGGTCATCGCAAGCCTGGAGCCCACCCCGTTGTCCTGTACCAGGACTTGGGTGCGTGAAACTGGAAATTAAAAATTGTTAAAAAGGGGGACAGCTAAAGGATATCTCGACTTGAAAAGGGGGGGGACAAACCCTACCGAAACTGTCATCTAAAGAAGAAGACAGAGAGGGACTGGAAGAACACACCAGTAACTTTGCTGAGTGGGAGGATGACCACATGTAACACCCTACCAAGCATGGGATACAGCTTGCACACACTAACCTCAACCGTCGCGAGGCCCCGAAACGAACGACGCCCAACAGACCACAACTCAGCCTCTCGAAGCCCCAGGACGAACGAGGTAAACGCAACGCACGCACGAACTTCCGTGGGACGGCGCCCAACGGAAACAGTATGCACCGGGCGGCGCCGGGCATAAACAAGGCAATGCGGGCGGCGCCGCATGCCACAGAATTCAACGATAATGACCCAAAAACATACGGTCCTCGTCACACTCGGCGTCGGGTACCATCACCACGCTCATCACGCGCCTCCGACTCCTGCTTCGGCGAGCGGCCCTGCCCTTTACCCTTTCCTTTTGCGGGGACGAAGTCGTGCACTCGCCTGTGCACCCTTGACGGTAGGTAGCGTGCAGGTCGAAGCCCCAGGTCCTTGTCCTTTCCGAACAGCGGGCGAAGCGCGTTCTGTAGCCAAACATCACGCGTGTTCTGTGCTGTTTCACTGTTTCTGAAAAGCACAACCGCTGGCCAAGACTTGCCATCTTGAGGGAGCGCATCGCAGCCTCTGCCCCAGGAGGCACAGGACCAAGACCCCCTGTGCAAGCCCCTTGCACGTACTCGACCAAGGCAGTGTACATTTGTATTTTCCAAGGAGTAGGGCGTTCTTGCGGCCTCTGGGCGGGCAGGAGGGCCGAGTTCCTTTGCCATGTGGTCCATCCTCGCTCAAGGCCAGCTTTAAGTTCACCACTGATGAAGAACACAAGCGACAGGCCACTTTGTACGCTGTTGAGTTGGCCAGGGCAGCAGTCGCAAGGACCCGATCCTCGAGGCTGGACAACCTTGCTTCAACCCCTCCTTCCGACTCCCGTTCCACTTCCCGACGATCTCGGTCGCGGTCCCGGTCACGGTCGCGCCCACGATCGCGCTGATCACCACGGTCACCACGCTCACGGCGCGCCATGTCACGCACATAGGAAAGCGCAGAGGGCACCAAAAAACAAACACAAGCTAAGTAGCGACTTGAACCAACAGGGCGCGGACGGGCTTTTGAATATGACTGCACATCACACATATGCTCCGAGTGTGTCTAACGCGGCACGTGTGCGGCACGTGTACACACAGAATAGGACACACAAACATAACCGGTTGCGGGTTCGATTTTTTTTTGTGTTGCAAGCAAGTAGGCACGCTTGCAGGCTCACCGGGGCGTGACAGGCTAATACGCTCTGCAGTGCTACTGTATGTGCTCGCGGAGAAGATGCATGCGGAAGCTATGAAGATGCGTGAACTCCCTCTCAACACCAAGGTCACGGGGGCATAGACCGAGATGACATTGACGACCCGACGTTGCAGCTCCAATTTAATATGTAATAACCGGCCACCATAATTAATGCAATAACTACCTGCGCGTCTCCACGCCACCTGCATCGCCTCATTCATGACAACTGCCACTCCTTGCATAGCTTTGGGCGCATCGGCGGGCAAGCCACTAAACACATACAGATAGTCACCACACTGCAGTGTACCCTCTCCCCTCCAGCGGTGCTCCGACACGCAGCACAAAGACATGTTATGTTTACGTAGTAACTCACAAAACAGTTTAGGCCTATCTACGTCACTCCCCTCAAGGTTGACTTCTCCCCCCGGAGAAACTGAGACTTGACAGTGCATAGTTCGAACATTAAACGCCCCCCCAGACAAGATCGAGACATCGTTGCTTCCAGGATTTACGAGTCACAGCTCTCAGTGTATGGCCACACTTCACTGGTGTGACTCTCTCCTTCGAGCTAGGTCGAGTATTTGTTTCACGGTCTTGGACAAGAAAAAAGACGGTGACGCCGGCTTGTCAGGCCGACGCCACCGTTGGGCCACCCCCAAAGAGGGGAGTTGCCCCCCACCCCGAAGGGAGGAGAGCCCCGGGCTCCCCGTTAAGGGATGGCCCCCGCTACCTCCGTTAGCCCTGCCATCAAGAGCATCAGAACTCTCACGCGAAAAGCAAGTACTTTGACAGGTTTACACCCTGGCACCCGGAGATCAAAACAAGCACGCCTAACCACAGTAGCTGACCTGTTCTCCTTCTGTGAGGTGGAGGTTCGACTTTGTCAGGGACATCGCAAGCCTGGAAACGGACGTGTGCGGCAGCTGGTAGCCGCACTCGTCCCGGGAAAACTCGGCCGTGTCTGCCACTGCCGAAGTCGGCGTCAAGGAGGTCGCCCAAGCCCTCCCTGGCAACCTTTACGGCAGTTAGGCATGGAAAAACAGCCCAAAACTGTTTTGGCACAAGCGTGCAGATAAACACTGCGACGTCACGTATGTCAAAGGCGATGAGATTTCGCATCAGAGGAAAAAGCTTCATACCTACCCAAAGGGGAATGACCAAACCCAAATCGAAGAGACAGAACTGTTAGGGGAACAAACTCCCATATAAAACGCGCTCCTGGGACGGACGGTACCGATCCCATTCGACAAACCGGACGGTACCGGTTGTCACTCCCAAAGCCGGACGGTACCGACTTTCACACTCCCGGGTATTACCAAAAAGACCCAGACAAAACTGTTAGGGGAACAACTAAACACTCTTCACTGTCATACCTCATCGTGAACAAGCCATATAAAACGCGCTCCTGGGATGGACGGTACCGATCCCATTCGACAAACCGGACGGTATTTCCGCCAGCACCCTTGCCGCCTTTCCCTTAAAGTAGTCCTGGATCTCCGTTTCAGTGTGCCCCAAGCTTGAGAGGACCTCCCGATGCAGAACTCCCGGTAAGTAGCGGCCAGGGCGTAAGCCAAGTTCCACCACGTTTGGCAATAGCATCACGAACTGTCTGGCTGTCGAGAGCACCTCGTGCCGCCAATCCTTCGATGTTTCCTTTGAAGGAGATCGTAAATATGACTGGGCGTTCGTCCGTTGCTTCGGGTTTCTTGCAATACGCAGATTCAACCGCCGTCTGCCGTGTGTGTCGCAGCGTGCTTGCCACCGGCTCACCCACACCCTGCCGGACCAACTGTTCCACCACCTTTGTGAACAACTGCATTTTGAGCGGCGGTGGCTTGCCGCCCTCATTGCCAGTCCCCGCCGCACCGCTCGCAGCACCCCCCTCTGCCTTTGCCAACCTGGCTGCTTCCGCCCCGGTTTCCCACTGACGTAGGCAGTCCAGAATGCTCTCTTTGAACGCCCCCGTACCGAAGCATACAACCACCCTTCCAGCCCGGTCCTTGCCAGTACCCTTTGCCGTGGCCGAGGCCAGGCGCGCAACACCATCAACTTGGGTTTCTAACTGTTGAAGTCGTTCTTCCACGTTTGCCATGGCTCCGAACTGTCCACCCTATCTGAGCCAAGAGGCACTGCGCATTGTGCAGCTTGGTGACAAGCTCAACCCAGATGTACTTGTTTTAAATGATACTTGAAATGGTGCACCGTTCGGAACATGTCACCTCCCTGACCCATTTGAACGCATACGGGGTATTGCATTGGGAACTGATTTTGAGTAAACTTGTGATCAGCCGCTATGTGTAGGCGAATTGCCGCCTTTCCACCCCAAACTCCCATACAGAAAGGGCACGTATACGGATGTCGACAAGCGCCATGTTCAAAATTTTGTGTCGGGTAAGCCACATTTCGTTGGAGAAACTTCTTGGACAGATGCGACAAACCTTTACGAGTGGAGTAGCGTTGTCCGCAGCCCGGCATATCACAGACATATGCCCCAACTCCAACCCGCACTTTTTTGTTCCAGTACTTACTCTGCACCCTCAGCATAGGATTGAGTATCGCATCCTCTTGCGTCGCTTCGGAGAACTTTGCAAGATACCAGCCGGGTTGTCTACTCTTTTGGCGAATCCTACGTGGCGTGACCCCAGTGTGTTCTGGCTGTGGATTCTTAGTACCCCACGCTTCCCACCTCAACAAGGCAGAATAAAACAGCACCCGGAACAGCCCCAGGTCCGCTTCCATTTCCAATCCCTCAGACCACTGCGAACTAGCCTCCGCACAGATGTCCTCGAATGACGAGAAGTTGTTGGTTTCCAACAGTGACTCAATTTGGGAGACAAATTTTGCCAACAGCCCCTCCCGGCCTCCAAGCTGCTCCTCAAGACGGAGAAAGGCCGATCCTACCAGGAACTTATCCCGAAAAACTTCATCCGCCCTGGCCCAGCGTTGCGCAATACTTGGCCGTGACTTAGGCGGAATTCGCAATTTGGCCCTGTCGACTTTTCTGTCCGGCGTCGGCTTAGTTGGATCAACTTCCAAAGGCGTGAACCAAAACCCAATTTCCCTGCTTTTTTCCGCCCATTTAGCTCGACCGCCATCCGTGTTGCAGAACTGTAGCCAGCCCTGTTGATGCACATCATTGCAGCCAGGTCTCTTAAAAATTCTTCCCCCAACCGTTTGCCCGCCTGATGTCCAGGCTGCCTATACCCCAATTCCTCCGGTAAGGATCCGAACAATATCTGCTTTGGTAACCGATGCTCCTGCATACGCCCAACATGCCCCAACCAGCGCAACCTGCATTGTCGCACTACCTGCAGAATGGGAGGCACCCCCAGCCAGGCCCTTAGGTCAGCGTTAGACACGCTATGCTCCCACTGCTTTCGCAGCCCAGAGTTGGCCAGTCTTCGTAACCAAATATGGTACACCCGCTCGAGAGCCTTTCGCGCCACGAACGTAGGGGTCCAAAGCTCGGCCCCAAAGAGCAACACCGACATAACACATGCACGAAACACACACACCTTTGTCCCAATAGATAGCTGCTTTAGACTCCAGACGGACGAGTTGAGGGCCCAGAATGCCTTCCGTGCCTTATGTATGCGTGCAAACACAGCCCTATCCCCATTTGTAGTCCCGTCCACAGTCACCCCAAGGTACTCAAATTCCTTACAAAACTCTATGTCATCAAAGCCGTCAAACTCTTCAACTGCAATAGGAGCCTGCTCGCCCGCCTCCGTTGTGAGTGCTTTTGTTTTTTCCACCGACAACGTAACGCCCCATAACCCGAGGTGTGCTTGGAACTTCTGCGCCGTTTCCCGTAGTTGTAACAATGAGCTGGAAATAAGGGCCGCATCGTCTGCGTACGATAGTTCTTCGAGTTTAAGGGCCTGCCACGTGGTATACTTGTCGAAAGTTTCACGATGATGCAACACCCCATCAATGCGAGTCTGCCAGACAACCCCACCTCCCGACTTGGCCTGCCACGCTTCGAAGACTGCTGCAAGAAAAATGTTAAACAGCAAAGGCGCCAGACAACACCCCTGCCCCAACCCAGTACCTAATTCAAACGAGGCCGATAGCCTGCCCTCAACACTGACTTGTGTGCACTTACCAGAATAATAATCCTTGACCAGTTCCACGAATTTGGCCGGCACACCTTTTTTTCTCAAGATGGTCCATACCCCAGCCCTTGAGACGGAGTCGTACGCCTTGACTAGATCCACGAAGAGGACATAAAACGGGTGACGTCTGTATGCCGCAAGCTCCATTCCCATTTTAAGGCAGAAGATAGCATCAATGACACCACGCCCGCTCTAAATCCACATTGTGCCTCTGGCAACAATCCTGCCTCTTCTGCATATTTATCTATCCTGGCGTTGAGGATACGCGCGTAGACCTTCCCCGGAATGGATGCCAAGAGTATACCTCGCCAATTCTTACACAAGGTAAGATCGCCCTTTTTGGGCAAGGGGACCAGATAGGACGCACGCCATTCCTTCGGGAGTTCTTCGAGCCCCTCCCAAATACGGCAGTAGAACTCAGGAAGTATTCGTACATTGGTGGGATCTAGTGACATAAGAATTTCAGCTTCAATTCCATCCGGGCCTGACGCTTTGCCCTTTTTTAGTCTCTGTGTGGCAGCAATAGTCTCCTTGATAGTAGGCGTGTCTGCAAGAGACACCTCCGGAGCCTTCCAACTGATACTATTCATCTCAGCCTGCTCCACTTGTGTTGGCGCATTTAGCAGGTCAAAGAAATATTGTTGCCATCTGTCCACCCTTTCCGACTTAGTTAGCAGCAAGGCCCCATGCTGGTCCCGCAGTATCCCGCCTTTCTGTGTCCTCCAACAAAAATCTGCCTCAATTCCCTGTAGGCTGCAAACTGATAGTTATGATCCTTTGCATCTACCATTTCTTGTATACTGCGAGCCTTTTCATTCCACCACTGGTTTATCAACCGTTTCACAGCTCGTTTTGACACTCTACATGCCGCTTTGTATTCCTCAGACTGAAAGCCTAACGGTGACCGTGCCGCTGCCTCCCGCTTGTCCCGACTAAGCTGTTCAAGGTATTCCTCATGCCCCACTTGCCAAGCCGGAACATTTCTGGCCTGTACAGTCCCCAACATGGACACGCTACTTTCCGCATGCCATTGCCAAAGAGCTCATACTTGTCATCAAAGAGCCCATCTGCAGCAAACTCACGGAGCTGTTGGTTAAAGTTCCTACACGTTTCAGCTTGCCCGAGCTTGCCCACATGAAGCCTAGGCACCCTACCTGTGATCTCCCCCGTGGTGCCCCGTGAGAAATGGCGCCCAAGTGCAACTTTTCTAGGCACCGACAGGGTTAGTTTGGCGAACCGATGATCTGTGCGATGCACGTACCCCGGCATAACCTGAACGTTGTGTATAAGCCCCAGTGATCTTCGCCTGCATATGACATGGTCTATCTGAAACCATCGTCTAGAAGAAGGGTGAAACCATGTGCCATAGACGTTGTGTTTGAAAAGTGTGCTAGCAACTACCGGTGCATCCCGATCCCGCCCCGAACAAAAGTCCAGCAGCCGAGTGCCATTTTCATTAACTTCCGCCAGTCCGTGTCTCCCAACCATCTCCCGTAACCCATCTCCATCATTTCCGGCCTCGTCCGGGTCACCAATCCCAACCCTGGCATTAAAATCACCCATAAAGATTAATTCATCTCGCGGAGCGACCTTGTCCATCATTTCTCCAAGTTGCGCAAACGCCTCCTTCTCTTCTTCTGAACACTGGAATGTCGGCTCATAGCACGAAATAACTGAAAGGAAACGCCCGTTTATCTTTAACCTGATACGCAGTAGCCGCCCACCACCATACTCACACAGCTCGTCAGCCCTCCTCCACGCGTACTGCATGTCCTTGTTCAAGAGAAAACCCACCCCTTGCGACGCCTTCTTAGGATTTTCCAACCCCGAGTAAACACACAGCCAGTCCTCTCCAATTGCGCATGAACCCTCCCCTTTCCACCTGTGCTCAGACACCGCGCACAAACTGACACCTTTACGTTGGAGTTCCCCACACAAGTCACCCACTTTCTGCGGATCTGCGCCTACGATCTTTACTCCCCCCCTTTGTGTAATCTCAAGATCACTTTTCATGGTTTGAACATTCCAGCATCCCCAGTTTAGCTTAGCACGCTTAGGCCCACCACATCTACGCTGCTCACGCCTGTCCGCGTTCACAATTGGGCGAGTAGATGCAGTATGGCAGGTTCGAACACTTCTATCCCGTGTGGTAGCTATTGATACAGCAGAACAGCTAGCTAGGCTGAACTGCCGGTCGGGGAGGGACCTCCCCCGGGTTGCTTCCAAAAAAGGAAGCCCCGTTCCCAGGTTTGGCGCCCCCCCCCCCCCGCCGCCTCCGTTAGCCGACATGTTAATGCAGAAAAGTCGCCACACTTAAGTATGTCGGGAACACCGGGGCACCACGGTGAGGTGGAGGTCGGACTTTGCCCCGAAGAGGACGTTGTCAGGCCATTCGGCCTATAGTCCCATGTTACAATGAAAAACTCACTCATACATAGACTACACATCGACCGACCGGAGAGGACACATCACTGTGAAGGACCCATCCAAGCATCCTCCACTTAGATATGTCATCGTGTCGGTCTTCGCAGACTTCAACCTAACAACAAACATATAAATACCATTCAAATTTGAACATTGAAAGTAAAGAAAGGAATTACTAACAAACAAGGACAAACACGAAACACAACACAGTCAGCGAAAAGGGGATCAAATCAACAAAGAAGAAACCACCTCAAGAGACCAACAGGGGGAAAAGAGTAAACAGAGCACCCTAAACACAGACTAAAGGAAAGGATTGTCCGACTCACCAACTGGCTAAGTGCATAACGATGGGGAAGACACAGGAAGCACAAAATCAGGACTGCAGTCTTTAAAGAAAAGAAGAAGACACAGACAACACACCGTACTGATAGACAGGCCCAAGAAAGCAAATCAGAACTCATCGCGTATTCTAAAACACAATCGAGAGAAGAGGGAAAACATGAAGAGAGACATAGCGGAACTTACTCAGATACTTCCGCGAACGACCCGACACCGGCCCCGACGGTGCAGGGCTTATTCATCAGCCGGACGGTACCGGCAGTGACCCAGACAGTGGGCGGTACCACTGTCAACACCTTCAGACCGAAGATCGAAAACAGAAGGACAAAGCATAAAGCAAAAGTACTGATAAAATGCACCAGGCGACTTAGCGTTTGTGTGCGCGATCCTCCGAGACGGACAGCCGCGATGGCGACGCCCGTTTGTGGCCCCTTTCCACCCCACGCCCACGACCATCCCCGACGCCCTTCCCAGGACCCTTGCCCTTGTACCATCCCGATATGTCGTCAGGGGTGTGCCCCAGATCAGCCAGGACAGCCCTCTGGTAGCCCCCCGGCAAAAACCGGCCTGGCCGGAGGCCAAGCTCAGGATATCGGCCATCTCGTTTGCCAACCGCTTGCCTGACCTGCACCGAAGACAGACACGTTCGAGCGGTGTGCCCATTCCAGTTGAGACGGAAGGTAACCACCAAAACCCATGGCACAGCCATGTCCTCTAGTGGCTCCTGCTGTTGCACAGCTTCCACCGCGTCCAGAGTGTTGGTCGTTTGCAGGTTCTGCAAAACGTCCGGCGACACCCCTTGTTCACGGAGTTGCTCCACCAACATCTCGAAGACCTGGGCCTTCCAAGGCACCGGCCTCGTTGACCCACCCGACGCCCCCTCCGCCTGACCCGTCTCCTTTGACGCTTCCCTGGCTGCCGCAGCCCCCTCCCTCCAGGCCGCATACGCTTCTTGAACTCGGGCCCGGAAAGTCCCCTGCACGAAAGCCACAACTTGGCGTTGCGCCTTGTCCTTGCCCACCCCCTTTGCCGTGGCGTTTGCGAGCAAAGCCACATGTTCGACTGCCCTTTCGACAGCTGTGACTCTGTCTGGTAGAGCTTTACTTCCTGCCATTGCAGGAGTATCAAAAGTTCGAGTACCGTTCGAAAGGCTAACCATATTTCATTTGAGCCCAAACATTTCGCGTAGCCGGTTCGTCAAGGTCATGTGCACCGACTTGTAGTTATATCCACTTCGCGCGACCACAGGCGCTACAGGTGGGCTTGCTTGATGTGATACTTGAAATGATGCACGCTCCGGAACCAGGCGCTCGCCACGCCTTCATTTAAACAGAGTTGACACTGCGCTGGAAAGTCGCTTTCTTCAAATCAGCCGGAATCATTTCGTCCGGTGGATGTCAACCGGTGGCTTCGACGACAGAATTTGAGTCCGGACACTATGACCGCAATTGAGGATTCGGCTGGTTGGTTGCTTGAGTGCTTCGAACAGGCGCCCGAAAATGAGGCCCCTACAGTCATCGAGGTTGCACAGGCGTGGGGCCTTGACCCAGTATTGGTACAAACAGCTACTCAATTCCAGTTGTGTAGGGTCATTGCAGCAGCTACTTTTCTGACTGAGAACTGACCCAGACACAAGGCCTCGAGAACATGGGTGAATCGTGCCTGGCATTTCCTTTTCTACATGTGCTTTTTCTTTGCTTCATGTCCTTCGTTTCCTCGGTCTTTCATGAACAGGCTTTTATGGGTTTCCAGCTTCGTATTGTTTCAATTGATTCGCTTGGGCCACACTTCCGGGGCTCGTATGGAACGACTTCGGATCCTTTTCCAGATTCACCATGTTCCAGAGGATTATCCATGGGAGTACTTCTCCTCCCAGTTCAGTGTTTATGTTCGTATTTCATGGATGTTTCACGAGTTCTACGTTGGGTCGACACATTCTTCTATGCCCTCTCGCGAGTACACTCGCACACGTAAATTTCTCCAGCTACATCGGGGCCAACTTGCTTATTATGAGCCTGCTCTACTCTGGTGGCACCATCATCAGAATTTTTGGTTATTTTTCCCGATTGTGATCATGTCTTGTGGGTCTATTGTGGAAGCGTTATCCAAAGAAAGTTCATTGATGGACATTTGGCAGCCCAAACTCAACGCCCCTTGGGTTGGCAAACTTTTGAAGAAGGTTCGATTGTGGAAGGATGAACTTGTTCCCAACACAGTTGCGGCGTGTGTTCTCAGACAGGGCCGACGACTTTGGAAGAAGGCTCGTCGACGACTGTTTCCTACATCGATTACTTGGCACGAATCACTGTTTGAACAGACTCATTCATCCTTTACTCTGTTGTACCATTTGGGAGCCAATGGCCTTGCTAAGTTTCACGCCAACAGGGAGCTTAGATCCGTTCGGTTTGACCGGATTCAGATTTTCACATTGTATAAGCAAACCCGTTTGCTTTCCGAACCTTGGAGAACTAGAGCCTATGCACAGTGGCGGTCTATTCTGCGGTTTCGTGACCTTCCAATTCCTGTCTCGCAGAGAACGATTGGCTTCTTTCACCTTAACGTTCCTCAATACTGGTCATTGTTACACAAATGGCTTCGCAACTACGTACACACCTATTCCTCACATGCACCGGATCTACATTTGCCGGGGTGGCATCCCCGCGAACTACGCTCTCGCCCCTTGGCAGGATCTCTCTGCAATTGGAAAGGGTGGCTAAGACAGTGGACTCCCGGCTTTCGGAGTGGTTGTATTTGTAGCACTTGGCTTGAGTTTGTACCGGGAGGTGATATTTCTGGACATGTTGCTTGTGAAGCCCGTTTCATATGTGATCTACCCATTGCTGGTGCTAACATGGATGATCAATTGTTTCCATCGATGCTTGTTTACTTTTCTCAGATGAAGCGACAATTCCTGTCGTGGCGAGCGGGCACTTCCCTTCCCTGGGGTCCGTTCTTGGATTTCCTGGAACAGCTTTGGGAGGTTCATGAGCATGGTTCACAGGTACACTGGGATTCAGCTCAGTGCAAGATTTTCCGGGGTCGCACACGAGGTTTCGTTATTACACCTGTGGATCACTTCCCGAAGACCGCCTTTGCTTTATGTCCCCAGTTGTATATGGAGCTGTTGGATAAGACCTTCATCATTTCTTCCATTTTCGTCATTGCACACGATGACCCGCCGCAGTTTGAAACGGACCTTCGACGTCGTCTACTGCAGGCAGTCCATAAGTCCTACCATTGGGGTATCCAGCATCGGCTTCCGTACGCTTACATCTTGCCCAAACCATCCAGATCCTTCCTCAAGGCACGACCGATCATTTCCTATTACCAGACGATGACCTCTAAGCTGTGTTTTTTCTTGGGGGTGGTTCTGTATCACCTGTTGGAGAAGGTTTTTCATGATGGAATTGGACATGATTCTGCGGTAGTTATGGTTCGCAAACTGTGGAGTGCCTTCCGGAGTCAATGGGAGGAGGACTGCGACTTGGTCAATCAAGATCTTACTGGTTTCTTTACAAGCATTCCCGCTTCCCGTTTTGAGGGTGCACTTTCAATCCTCTTCCACTTGTACCAGGAATTGTATGGTCTTCAGGAATCTACGTCTTTTTCGGTGTACACTTCTAAGCAACCGGATAGACCTCGAGTCTTCCGTGGCCAGTGGCGAACACGTGCTAATCGACATTACAAGACCTTTTTGGCTGCTGACATTTCCCCCTTAGTGTTGCTTTTGGTTGCCAACTCATTCTTGGCAATGTTGGAAGAATATTTTGCCTTTCGAGCGTGGGACATTTCCATGGCAAGCATTCGTCAATTGGGAGTGGTTTGGGTTGATCGCTATGTGGACAATCGAGTGGCTTTACTGACTGCTGGAGCTCGATGCCATCCTGTGGTCCGGGCACTTTTTCAGTTAGACTTTTATGTTCCCCCTGTCATGTTGGAGGAGGTGCCCAATTCGGATGTTGTGGGATATTCAGTGGATGTGAACGCTAAGTCGTGCCAGTTTCTACTGCCATCCACACTTTCTAGGATACGTTCCCCGAGTTCTGCTTCTTCACTGCGTAGATCGTTGCAGTCCCTGGAGACTAGGTTGATACTAGCCCGGGGCACCAGACCCCGCTCCCGCATCCCGGAGTTGATGCATTTGTTGCTTGATCTGTATAGACAGAAAGGCTTCACCTCGGCCCAGTTAGCCCCGTTTGTTTCAAAATTTCAGATTCGCTTCGGCCTCAGAGCAAAACAACAGAAAGGACGATATAGGAAGTTAGAGCTGGTGCTGGCCATACATGTCACCCGTTGGGTTCTGAGGGAACACACTTTTACTCGAGTCTTGCAACAGTGACCTCGTAGCACCTGGGCTCTGACCTCCGGTTTCACGGGGGTTTTTTCGGGGTTTTGTTTTTCGGGGTTTTGTTTTTTCACTTCGTCCACTTGTCATTGGTTTTGACACTCTTCCGTGCCATAGGTCTACACTCTCAGGAGTTCCAGTTTTTAATGGTTTCTGGTCCTTATCGTATTGGAGTCCAGCACGTTTTCACCCTTTGTACAATATGCCGATGGATTCGGTAGCTAAGAGCCGCGCCCTTCGACCATCTTGGATGGTGGAAGAAGACACTGATGTGCCTGCATCTGTGCCTGCCCCCTTGGCTGCAAATATGTCAGCTGACGCGAATGGTGGGGGACCTATGGTGGGGGCCGACGGTGCGGCTCTTGTGCCTTCGAGCAACTTCGTGCCTCATTCGGCAATTAGCACGCCACTTGGTGGGGAGATGGGTGGTGGTGAGATGAGTGCCGTCCCGATGGGTGGAGCAACTGGACCTGCAGCTTCGGTTAAGGTTCAAATGGGACCACTACAGGCTCGTTTTCATTTTGCCAATGTGCAGAATTTCTCATCATTCTTTTGGCAACTGGTTCCAGCCTTTTCAGGGTTACAGGCAAGCATTGTGTTTATGAACCCCGGGGGTCCATACATGACCCATGCTCAACCAACGGCAATTACTGGATCTTCATCTAGCATGGTTCCACATCAGACCCAACCTCCGTTGCAGATGGTTTCGTCTTCGGTTCCACAGTCGATTCCGGACCCTAGGGTGCAATGGTTTCCACCCAGATTCCACGCGTTCCTCCCCCGCGAGGGTTGGAAACCAGCTGCAGAGTTTTGGGTTCACATTCCGGAGTTGCAATTGGAGGATGATCTTTACGAAGAGCGTCGTAACGTTTCTGTTATGCACGGATTTGTGGAATACGTGTTTGCAGCCCAACCGGTTTTCAATACTTTGCCTGAACTTTGCGATATCCAGATTTGGGAGCAGGGTAAGCTGGTGGATTTCTCCACCTACACGAAGTGGCATCGTTTGGGGCCAGTGGTGGGCCTTCTTCGATCTCGAATTTTGCACAGTTCTGGACGTAGACGGACCATTGATGAGGTTTTCGTTCGAAAATGGGTTCCACAGGATGCCAACGTACATGTGGTTCCCATGATCATGGAGTATCTTTGGTCCTTGGTTGAGCAAGCCCCACCTGCAAATCCCACTTTGTTGGTGCACTGGACAGCTATTGCCCAAATTTTGGACATTAGCGATACTGTTCACAGGGTTCAGTCGGTTGAGGTCAAGGATCTTAACCCCAGCACTGGCCCACGTTGGGCGATCATAGTGTGGCTGGACCAGCCAACGACGGTGCGCCGGCCTGATGCATTCAGTCATTTCTTCTGGATTGCACATAATACGACCTTTGAGGCTTCGGTTCATTTGTTAGCCACGGGTCACTTTCGGCCCACACGGTATCAGATAGCTGATCCCCTGTGGCAACCGCCCATTAGTTTCTACACCCGTGCCCACCCATATCAGTTGTGGCGCTAAACCAAGCCGCAAAATATGGCGGATGGAATCACCCCACCCGGCCCTTTTCCATTTTAGGACGTGCCGCGGGCCGGCAATTAGAGCATACTAGGATTGCACAGGGTGGCGTAGAAGCAGATATAGCCGCCACTTTGATGCACGATGTAGTGCGCGCTCGTGATGGGCGCTGGTGCGTCAAGTGTTCCTGTACGGCAGCTTACGGGCTTGCCGTCTACCTGTAGGAGCATTCTTTTCACCTACTACTCGTGTTTAATTG